AAAAGCACAGACATAACATGTGCAGGAGTAGAGGTGTCCACACTAGTTTGTATACCAGTGTTTCCCCCACTATTTGTGCTATAGAACTGAAGAACCTCACCAAGCAGTTGCTGAACAGCATGATGGGGTTCCTGACCTTGCCCGCGATCCTGCAGAGGATCATCCAGGTGTGATACGTACTTGTGTCTCCACATGCTTTAGGCTCAGAATTGAAAGGCATCTTTTTACTGTAAAACATTTGGGTCTCTCTATGGCCCATTTAAGATGTGTTTATATCAAAGCTACAGTTGAGCTATATATGTGACCTGATGTTTCTTGATTGCTGTAGGACCCGATTTACGGCTCTGGCCGATTTGGAGAGATCAAGGAGCTGGTGCTTGGGATGTTGGACACATTCAGCTACGAGCAGGTGAAAGGGACCCCAAACTTATTGAATGAGAATATAACCCATCTCTCAAAAGTACACTGCTCATTTGGTGTTGTAGGACTTTAGGATTAACCCCAACAAGGGGATGTTTTTGTATAGTACTCATTCATCTCATTGTTGTCTATTCATTTGAGGGTTGTCGTGTACCACGTCTCTCCACTTCTCCCTCACCTCCCCCAGCTTCGCTGGATTATGACGTATTGTATGAAGGCAATATCACATACCATTTCTTCAATATAGGTCCTAAATAATACCCTTGCACCACAGTTCAATGCTTTGTGCCGCATCTTGCCATGGTGTTTGACTGGCAGACGCTTCTGGAGACGACTACAGGGTTGCTCAACCAGGACCTGCACTGGTCGCTGTCACAGCTCCGCAAGGCCGTGTGCCGTGGCCTGCACCCACGGCACGATGCCTGCGGGGTGTGCACCCAGCACTATGGCCGCCGGCAGAGCCCTGGTCAGCGCGTCATCATCTTTGGGTTTGTATTGCCCCTTGCTAAGGGTTATTTCACTCTCAAGGTGACATGGCAATGATTTAGTTTGCGTGTTCATGGTGAGGCGCAACTGTGCATCATGAACATGCAGAGCGTGCGTGTGTGGGTGAGTGAGACTCCCTGCCTTTCGTAGTTCATTTTTGTGCAGTTTAATTGTTAAATGTCATTTTGTTTTTATAGTTATATTTTTTCTAGGCACTAGTTTCCTTGAACATTCAGTACCAGCAGCAAATGTTCAGCTGTATTTTGGAAAGGAGAGGAGCCTTGATGTATTCATATACTAGACATCTGCGAAAGAGAGCTTCATAGCTCATCGGATTTCTCTGGGGTTTTTTTCCATGGCCGGGTCAGTTGTGGACACGTCTACCACGAGGACTGCTTGCGAGGCACTGGTTGCCACAATGCCGGTGAGGGCCAGAGCAACTGGAGTTGCTACCTGTGCAATGCAAGCAACCGGGATGGAGGAGTGATCGCAAACCAGGCGCACGCACGTACCACCTCTCTCGCGCAGGTCAGTCCATGGATTTGTATTGTAAAGATCTCTCCCCACTGTATGGTCTTACGCCAAAAGGTGAAAAGGTGCTTGTTCGCCTTTTGGCGTTCTTTGCTTTAACACTGTCGAGACAATGCCATAAAGGAGGCGGTCTCTGGTGTAGGCCAATCACACGTCAAATCATGTTTTTAATGCATGTTTTACCACGATCATGTTTGGTCAATGCAGATTTGATGCCTTGCAATAGGTGTCTACTTGGTGTTTGAACATCTTAACACCTGTATTCTTACCAGAATAGGGTACAGCCTATTAATTTTTTCATCATCTTGTCCATAGATATGTGTAAACTGTTTCCTTATAATTTGTTCGCAGTAGTTTTTGGCAAATGAGGAATTTTGAGTAGAGATGGGATTTCAATTTCTAAACCCATGCAATATATTTCTTTAGTGGCAATTGCTGTAACCAACAGCACTTTCAAAATATCCTCTAAAATTATGTATGCATGCATTACAATATATTTATTGAGGACTGTAAAATATATTAATGTGCATATTAATGTTAAAAGCAGATCACTTTAAATTAAAAATATTACAGCGTATTATACGGTGATGTTTTATTGCACACTTAAATGTGTCATTGCAGATAAGAGTTGCATCTGCAAAAGATGAGAAAAAAGCCACAACAAAGGCAAGCAAAAAGGTCAGCTTTTGTCCAAAATTTCCACGTGTTTTATGTCATTAATAATTGTCAGCTTTTTGAACAAATCTTTATAAAAGACGGTAGTCACATGCAATTATACATCCAATTTTAGCTTTTTTAATCAGTATAAATGTATGTTTACCATCATAGCATTATGCTAATTATATTTCCCACATTTCACATTTAGCCATGTTATTCACATTGCATTGCATCCATCCATCAATTGATAGACATACATTAGCACTATAGAGGGGAATTAGAACTTGAGTTTTAATGTCTTCTGGTACAAGCAAATACAATATGTAAAGTGGTCTTTCATTAATCTAGCAATGCTTTTAGAATGGTTGATGAGGGTTAAGTTTTTTTAAGGTGCCTGAAGTGGTCATGGATCCTGAGCAGTTCAGGTGTTTTGATGAGCTACAGAAGATGAACAAGGGGCGTTCTCGGGTGAGTCTTCTAATTGTGTGTGTTTGCAAACATTTCTGAGGGTTTTCCATGTGGGAGGAAACGGCAACCAGAGAAAATCTATGCATTCCAGGGATTACTGTACCACTGAAGGTTCTGTATACATGAATTCTAGCATATGTTTTTGTACTGCCATCTCCTAATCGTCTCAGCCCAGCAGTGTTTGGAATTTCACATCTGTATGATCCACCAAAACTTTGCCTCAAACATTCTAGATTACAAGGGTGTACCACTGTGTTTGGCAGTGAATGATGAGCAAGGGTACGTTGATTTTTCGGAAGTTCATGCACAATTTAAGTATTAAAATGCCATAGTCTGTAGCCAGACATTTAGAAGACACACATGCACACATTTAGAATAGTCTTTTAAGAAATGGTTTCTGTCTCCAATGTGCAGATCGCCATCTTGGCCGAGTTGTCCAAGAGCCACTCTGACTCGGAAGGTGCATCGCACCGTCCCCTCTCCATGGTGTCGTCTCCGGTTGGCCATGAGAGTGTCTTTCAGAACGAACATTTCCAGCTGCGGCTGGATGCACCCCCACCAAAGGACTGAGTCAGGCGATCTCCAGATTAGCATTTTGCACTTCGTTGTTTTCACAGTTAATTAACAGTATAAACTAAACTATTTTTTTTTATTTTACCAGGTAAGGCTCACTGCGCTAGGTATCTCTTTTTCAGAAGTGACCTGGCCACAAATGATAGCTCATCGAAGTGGCTTATGTGGAAATGTATAGCAGCCAAATACTCGAAACGCATGTTTGTAAATGCAGAGGAAAAAAACGGAGGGTCCCAAGAAAATTCTACGCAACCATGGGGAGAATATGCAAACTCCAAATATATAGGTGTTAGGTTTGGGATAGGATCCACGACCTCCTGTATACCAGGCAAGGCAGGTAACATCTCACCAATGCCGTGCCTCAAAGGTCGCTTGAAAATTATTAATTTAAAATGGCTAAACCTTTACTGCATATTGTCATAAAATCGCATATGAAATGCCCTATGAAGTTCTGTTCTCATTGTATATATTTCCATGTTATGTACAGTCGTACATTTTGCTGTAATGGTCCCTTTGATTAAAGTTGTACATTTGAGCAATTTGCTGTATTTCTGAAATTCTTCTGGATGAAAATTTACTTTGTGCCATATGGTGGTTTAAACTAACTTGATGTAATAGAGGTATTATTTTTAAGTTGTACTGTTCTTTCATTGTTATTCCGGAAATAAAATGCAACATTGACAATTCGAAGTTCAACAGCTATGTGGTCATTTGTCGTTTTTTTTATTTTCAGCTATTGTAATCTTTAAAAAAATTACAAGGTTATTTTCTTATGAGAAAAAAAATCTATGCCAAGTGGTAAATACCGCATTTTGGTTTATCTTGTAGACAAATAATATGCAAAAATGGTCTAAATGTGGGAAGTTGAAAACTCAGTTTTGTTCATATTTTCATCGAGCATAAAATATTTCAAAACAACTGAATTACATTATCACGACAGCCATACCTGTCAACCTATACGGTTTACCCGTATTTGTGTACAGGGAAATTTAGTTTTGAAGTCCATACGGCGTACAGCCGTTTCAATACGAGCACATTTTTTTGGCTTTGTGTTTCTCCCTTGTGATGGGACTTTGCAGGATCAACGTTGATATTTATAAGGGGCACGGGGTGACCAATAATGTCTGAATTGGTCTGTAATAAGGTGGGGCACTGATAAGGGTTTGATAGATATGCGACAGCTGTAAAACAACAATTGATCTCACAAAATGTGTGGTTTTTTTGGACTTTAAATAGTTAAAATACAACACATGGGGCATCAACTAGCCCCTTGCATCTTCTTAATTCTTTCGGAAAAGTCACGTAGAGTGGAAATAAAAAAAAACGTAATAAAATAAAATTATCACGACATTTCGGCCACAACACAAGTAGCCCTCTTCAGGTGAAGAAACAGGACTGTCCAGAAGACAGCGCTTGAGTGAACACTGCCAAGCAAGTGCAGCGTCTTTTAAGCTGTGTGGGAGGAATTAACATGTGAATAGGGACAAGTTTCGGAACGGAGGAGGGGGGTGTACAAAAGGATACAACAAAACTGCCACGGTGCTCTGTCCTGTGTTGCGTTATAACTGTGCTATGAACTGGACTACTATACAATATTATACCTTTCAATCTAAACTACATGGTATATCATATCCATAGACAAATTCCACCTTTGAATTATCCCTATTCACATGTTAATTCCTCCCACACAGCTTAAAAGACGCTGCACTTGCTTGGCAGTGTTCACTCAAGCGCTGTCTTCTGGACAGTCCTGTTTCTTCACCTGAAGAGGGCTACTTGTGTTGTGGCCGAAACGTCGTGAGAATTTAATTTTTATCACGTTTCGTTTTTTTATTATTGTATTTCCACTCTACATGACTTTACCGAAAGAACCAAGAAGATGAATGAATCCCCTGCATTCACGAAAGCATTAAATCGAAATTTGCCCCTTGCAGTTCACACAATGAACCACGAGGGGACGCTCGTGCGCCTTACCTCCGTCTGTGCACTGTCACTCGGTACTTTAACCCGAGCGCTTCCGCCCCTTGCCGATGTAATTTTACGAGAGAAGATATCCCGAGACCTTAACGTGAACGGAGAGAAGAGACATTGATTCTTAACCAAAGCGCAGTGAGACAGATCATTATTCTCAAACGCACAGGAGGTAAGTCATTAGCTGTTCGGCTTGTCCATCGCAACAGCGGCTATGGCAAGCCAGCATGGTACTTATTATTACACGCTGTGGTTTTACGTGTATTGTTTCAAGCTGTGTGTGTGTGGTAACAAGGTTATTCTGTGCTCTTTGCCCCCCACACTCCTCCACCCCCTTTTTGAAACCCACATCGAACCACACGATGGCCAGGGAACACACGAGGTCGCATTAAGTGAAGGGTTAACGCTTCACGCCGTCTGTAGCACACAACGTGGATAATGTTATGATGTACAGTATAGTCTCTCTCTGTGTGTTTGTGTGTATATATTTAAACGTTGCATCGATACAATACTGTGCACAATTGTATCAGAATTATCGTTTGGTTTGGTCATCTAACCGTGCAGTTAAATGTGAACGTGCAGAGGTCAGTGCAGAGGTCAGCGCGTGGTTGTACAGAACTTCTATGCGCCTTCCGAGCCAACGCCGCTCGCGTTCCACCAAGCCACCAAAGCGCAGGGTGCTCCAACAGAAACATGCGAACGCTTATAGGGAAACTATCGTTTTTAATGGGAGAAGCAACGGACAACCACACCGTGACGCGATAACAAATGTGACGTTAACAGCTTCAAAAGAGCCCCAAGAGTCTCCCACTCGTTCGCCAGCGTTGTCAACGCACGCCTGGAATCTTCTCCACGTGGTCTTCCGAGTCCACAGGCAGCAGCAGCAGCACATTGATGCTGTGTAGGAACCTCCTGGTTACTACACCAGCAGCCCACACGGGATTATTGTGGCCGTCCGTCCGTCCGTCGTGCATCCAAAAATGGGAGGGGTGGGGCTGGGTGGAGGGTGTGAGGGGTGGGGCTGGGTGGGGAGGGGCTGGTCACCCCGTGGTGCCCTTATAAAACTCAACGTTTAACCTACTCACGCCGGCTTGTGCCCGCCCTCACAGTCGGGCATGTTTGCAGAATACACCACGTGGTGCCGCCGTTGACCCTGGCCATTGACCGAGCAACCCAACGTTCCTACCAGCTCCCTCCGCAGGAATGTGTTTGTGGTATTGTTGCAAATTTCTCAAAAGTGTTCACATTTGTTTTTTGAAGCACCCTCTAAAATCGCCCTGCCGAGTCCGCATGAGATTGACAACAGGGCTCTTAGCTCGCCGTAACGCGACTGACTACGGTGGTATCAATATTCATGGTGCGTTTTTTTTGCCAGTATCAAATTATGAAAGAAATAGGTTTTAATCTTGATTTGAAGCCTTTTCTGGCAATAAAACAGGTGTTTCGGTGTTCGAACACCAAATATAAACCCCTTTGCAAGGAATCACGTTTGCGTAAACCACACGTACTTGTGGTGAACATGCAAACGCCATGCTCCGGTAGTATATGACATTGTGTTTTAAACTGGTTGGCCTACACACCAGAGATGGCAGCCTTCTCTAGGACCCAAAGTCTCACCAGTGTCAGACCAGAGAACGACGCCAAAAGACGAGGTATAAATGCCCTGATAGTGCATTGCCCTGGTACTAGTCGCCTTTTGGCGTTCTCTGGTATGACACTGGTGAGACTAGGCTCTCAAGAAGACTGTCGCTGGTGTAGATCAAGCAGTATTAAAGACAATGCATATATAATTATCAGAACATGTTTGTGTTGGTGCTTTTTCATACATTAATGGCGTTTTGCATACAATGAGAGTCGGTGTACAATGACACGTTTCAAGTTTTATTTTATTTCACCAGGTGAGAAGTCCATACCTGTCAACCTCTTATCAGTGCCGACCTTATTACAGACCAATTCCGACCTTATTGGTCTCCCCGTGCCCTTAGAAATCTCAACATTCATCATAACAAGTCCCACCACAAGGGAGAAACACAAATAGACGGAACATTTTTCTTGCCCATATTGAAACGACTGTACGCCGTATGGACCTGAAAACTCAATTTCCCCTACACAAGAATACGGGTAAACTGTATGGGTTGACACGGTATGGGAGAAATCTTAAAGAGACCAGGATGAGTCTCATTCACAAGAGTGACACTGAGGCATGAGTTGGCCAATGGGAGATGGGGGCGATTGCTGCTGAATATAATCCCAATTGAATAACACAACGTATTGTTATCACTGCAGTGCGGTTTAAGTTGTTTTAAATAACTTTAATTAACTTGTAGTGTATAGTATTTACAGATACACCACATCTGTGCATACATATATATAAACTACCCTATACAGGACTGATGTGGAAAGCAGGTAGAAAAGATATACTGTTGGTAAATAAACGTAAGCGGTCCATAATAGAGGTTTTTTTTGGGTTAGATCGTGTAAATGAATCGATTGGCGGTAGCCCGGGTCACCGCAAACTATTGGTGGGCCGGGCATAGTTTAAGGTTTTTTTTTTTCCTGGGAGCATCGCTGGTACCACCACCCTGTCCTGCCGGAGGGCGACGCTGGGAGCGATGACGACGACGATGTCGATCCCGCCAGCACGACCGTGACCGCCGGCCGTACCGAGAGAGCGCCCGGTGCGCCATTGCCTCCAAGTGGTCTCGCTCCCAAAGACAAGGGGGGTGGCCGCCCCCGTAAGAAGCAGAACGTGCTGGGGAATGACCAGACCAGCATCCTGATGCACTTTCAAAACAAGCGATCAACAGCCGTTGCCATGCACAAATACCCCAGCAGCCCCTCTTTTTTATTGGGTGTTTTGCGTGTTTTTTATTTCCATATTTGGCGTGCGTATCGGGCTCAGTGACATCTCCCGTCTTCATAGGCCTTCTGGTTTCGGAGTTATGGAGGTTCTAGCACCCCCGGGTCACCGCCAATTGATTCAAATGTATAAATGTTTCGTTAAAACCCGCCACCACCTGACACAGCCAACTAGTAAGGGTTGTCACGTTAATAAAACATGCCAATTCGTCACTCATACAGCACACCGGTGTGTTGGAGAGCCAAGCCACAAAATTTACAACTTTTACAAACGTAAACTAGTTTGTTTTATCACGTACATTAAAATGTTGTAAAATGTTTTGTCCACCAGCCCTTGTGAGCCTTCGGCAGCAAAATTTCCCAGCAAGGCTGTTCCACGATTTGGGACATACATTTCATTTATTACACTTTAAAGACGTGGGTAATCATGGTAGTCTAATCATGAGATGGCTTTTTTTACTTCAGCAGGGACATCCAACACTTAGGACTATAATGCAGATAAAAAATGTGTCCCCGTTTATTATAATTATGGGGAAATTGTCAGAGTAACTTGGGGTGGTGGACATACTCTTACTAACTTCAGTCCACAGCATTCCTATGTGTGATACAATGACTTTATTGCATAAGAAATCCATAAGTTCTAAAACCATCAATATTGTGCAATAATTTAAATAATATGCCACGTCATATACTGTTTTATTAAGATTATTTTGAAAACTGACTTTAGGTTGCAGAATCTGTGGAACTACCCACCGGCAATCATTTGAACACATTATTTATCATGGTCACATTCAGCAGATTGTGGCCTGATAATATATAGCACTTATGTACACACATACAGAGTATGCATTGTGCAGTATACATTCGCCATACCTGCATATGCGTGTGTGTGGTTACATGTGTAAGTGTATGGCAAATGCACTATGCCATACAGTAATATGACGTGATTAAAATATATTCTCTGGCAGTAGTTATTTCCTTTAATGCGTGTCAGCATTGTCTATTGTCATTATTGGCGTAACAGTCATGGTGTCTGTTGTCGATGCAGCAGCAGCAGCAGGGTCTCAAGAAGGCCGGCAGAAGGAAGAGAAGGGGGAGAAGGATGTCACTGGGATACTACTTTGGTCCCCTGCTCATGTTTGCTCTGGCAAGCGGTGCTCTCTACCACCTGTCCTCCAAGCCACCCGGCTTCTCCAACACGACCGAGTCAGTGTGAAACCCAGGCTCATGTTTTTGTAAATTCATAACACTGAGCTAGCTTTGTAATTCATAATCACACTGGGGACAGTGCCCGAAGCGTTTGCCTTTAATATTTTGTTCTTGTGTAATGTGTTAATGCAGAATTTTTGTGCTTTAAAAATATATATTTGAACTGATGCACACTGCCAATATAAATCCATCTGGTAACCTAGAGCGATATAAAAGGCCATTCTTAACTCATTGACCGTAAACAATATGGTTTCCAAGAGTAACCAGTGAGTGGGAACAAATTACGTCATGCATGCAGAGCATCCGTTGATATATTTTTTTTATTCGCTGATAGTTACTAACTAGTTAGGATACTTCAAAAAATTGACAATTAGTTAAAATATTGATGTTCATTATTCATACGTTTATTTCTCAGAACCATTTTGGGTCAGGCAAGGGGGTTACTCAGTTGAAACAATTCAAAAAGGAGTACAACAGTGGCCAAAGAAGGCTGAGAACCACTGTACTAAATAGATTAGTTCTCATTTTATGAAAATAAGAAATGTCACTTGTGCTAATTTGCAGTGACAATTTTTTGCTACATGATCTTTGTTCAGTCCCGATACAAATTGTCAATTGCGCCTAATCAAAAAGATTTGTAAATTATAAGAATATTGAGGCTCTTGGTAGTACAAAGCCCCTGACAAGGGAGCTCCCAAATTCATTTAAAATTTGACACCTCTGCATGTTTTTTGAGAACAAGGTACCAACAAAAAACTCCACAATAGTAGGCTTGTTCTGAAGCAAAGTGCGAATTTTGCAATAAAATTATTGAAGTAATATATTCCGCTTTAAAACAAGTTAATTCATTTTGCAGGGCACGAGTGAATTGTATGGTTCTTACAAGTTAAAAATACACATTTCCACAACACCGCATGATTGTTTAACATCATGTACAGGGTGGGTAAAAAGTCCCCTTTATATGTCCAGTAGATTAATGTAAAATGGATATTGAGATTTCCAACCGATCCTGCATAGTACTATGCACATGTTTAGTCCTGTTAATCTTCTCTCAAATGAGTGTCTCCTCACTCTTCAGTTTTTCGCCATCTATGCTCACCACCTTTACTAATCCGCACTCAATAGCATATTGAAGTATGGCCACGTAACCCTGTGTAGTACATGAACCTTTGTTCTGTTATGCCCTATGGCAGTGCCATAAGCTTCCCATCAAACTTGGAGGAGCTGCAGCAGCTGGCAAAGGTGCTCAACTCTTACAAGGCCGAGCAGACAGGTTATGTGTTGCTGCTCTTCTGCTCTGCTTATCTGTACAAGCAGACCTTCGCCATCCCTGGCTCCGTATTTCTGGTGAGTCAGCTTATATTTTTAACAAATGCTCCCACATAGCCCCAATGCCCCATCAACACATGCTTTAAAAATATTAATATCTCACAATTAGCATTAAAATAACATGGCAAGTGCTGTTGGTGCACACCTATTGAGGTTGGTGTTAACAATGTGGTGGTGTGGTCAATGCCTGCCTTTGTGTTTCCAAGAAAAATGTTCCCACAATCCACTAGATATTCATTTTAAGTCTTAGTTGACCTCGAATAAGCCAAGGATAAGTTCACACCCAGTGTCCCATTAATTCAAACTTGGGTTGTTATGATTGTAGTACAGTGGATGAACTGCGCACTCCACTGTTCCTCACAGACACACTTGAAGGTCTTTATATAGCCACACAGACTGGGCAATTGCTGCAAACAGGAACCTGTTAAAGCTGGTAAAACACAAGGGAGCGGTGAGGCCAGTACCATACCTGGCTGAACTTGTATCCCCAATGCTGATGTATGCATGCCACTGCAACCACTGCTCCAGCACTGCCAGCACACAGACACAATCAAAGACAACGATTTCCTGTATAGCCTTAACAGACTTTTGGGACAATTGTCATTAGCGAGCACTTTTTTAAGGCAAGTGCAGCGCATGGGGTGGGGGGGGGTCACTGACCAGCATCATGCCTGGCTGCCTTATTCTCCCGAGTGGCGATGTTTACACATTGCAACAAGGTACTAATTTAAGGCTGAGTCGACCTACGGGAGGCCCCATGACTTGTTTAGATAATTTTCACTGGTGTTGGCCATGAGCGGGAATTGAACTCGGTGGCTGGGTTTGTATTGCAGCACTCTAATCGCGACACTATTGCTCGTAATTCGGGAGTGGTGAGGCCAGTACTATACTTGGCTGGACTTCTATTCGCATTGCTGATGTCCGCATGCCACGGCAACCACTGCACCACCACTGCCAGCACGCATGCACAACAACAACCGCCATTCACCACTAAGTGGTGGTGACGTCACCACGACGCTTGTGCCAGGCTAAGTGCACTTTGAGGCCACGTGAAGTGTCGAAGGCCCGCTGACAGGCGGTCACAGGACAGAGCCAGGTGCCATGGATTGACAGACCGAGATGACTGGCAGATGCACCACCTGTCCCCACTACTGTGCCAACGTGCTGTGTTTTAGCCGCCTGACACTCCACTTGTTGTGAGTGTTGCTCTTCTGCCCTCCGTTGTTGTTGGAGGGCAACTTCCTCCAACTGCCCAGTAGCCTCCTTCACGAGCCTCCTCCACAGAGGCCGATCTTGACACCACTGGTACCAGTTATCGGCAAGTCCACTCAACTCCACATCCTCCTGAGAATAGGTTTTCCTCTCTTTTCTGGCAACAAAACAGGTGTTAAGATGTTAAAAACCAAACTGAAACCGTTTACAAGGAATCATGTCTGCATTAACCACAATACTTGTGGTCAGAATGCAAAAAAAACATACTCTGATCATATATGCATTGTCTGTGAAACTGATTGGTTCACACCAGAGACAGCTTTCTTTCGAGCCTCGTCTCAAACGGTGTTAGACCAGAGGACGCCAAAAGGCGTATCTTCCTGTAGCATATCAGTCCACTTCTTCTCTTTCCCATGCCACGCCAGCATCCTCTGTCCAGCCAAACAAAAGCTGTTTGGACATGTGGTGGCTCGGCATGCAGGCTATATGCCCCAGCCAATGCAGCCTTGCCGAACAGAGGAGCTCAATAATGGGACTGTCCAGGTCTTTCAAGGATTTGTGAGCCCCTCGCAAAATCCAGCCTGGTTAAACTCATTATGGGGCAAGGTGGGGATGACCCTGCTGGGACTGCAGTGCCTCAAATATTGGAAAAAGAAGAAGTAGTCACCCCTGTGAGTGGCTGGCTGAGGTACCATCTGTTGATGATGTACAGATAGCAATCCATAGTCTGAAACCAGGAAAGCTGCTGAGGGAGGGTGGTGTTTGTGTGCAGACTGCCCTATATGACATCATTACAACAGTCTGGACCACTGGACAGGAAAGGTCCTGGAAAAGATTAATCCACATCACCTTGTCAGATAGGCTGAGGAGAAGCTTGCGGAGACCCAATGTGGTTTCAGGCTGGGGCGGTGCTGCACAGATGCCATATTCTCTGTACATCTGCTACAGCAGAGGTGCAGGGAATTCCAACAGGAATTACATCTTGCTTTATTGACCTGGTCAAGGCCTATAATGTCATCAATAGGTCAGGGCTCTGGGTTGTTCTGTGTACTTTTGTAGTGTCTGACTCTCTGGTCATAATCATTAAGGACCTTCATGATGGTGGGCAGGCCAAGGTAAAAATATGTGGCCAGGAGTCAGAGCCATTCCCTGTTTACCTTTTGGTGCAACAAGGATGTCCTCTGGCTCCTACGTTATTTTATATATTTCTCAACCACATAGTTCAAGAATATTTCTATGGCTGTGCCGGGGGAATTTCCATCTAGTATGGCTCCCTATTGGTCATACAGGCACACACGGGTACACATACATGCATGCACTTATGTCTCCAAGTTTCAATCTAATTTTAGCCCACTACTACTGATGGCTCCTTTCGTTATGTAGACTGGGCTTAGTATACCTTTTAAATTAAATGTGTAATTCTTAACGAGGTTAGTAAACATGTCACATGCATTTGTCCACATTGTACATTTGTAAGATTCATAATTCAGACAAACTGTACATCTCATTCCTTCTGCTGGAATGATTCAGCATCAAATGTTATCTGCCCCTTAGGCACGCTGGCTGTATTTTTATTAATGAAAGCCTTGTGAAACTCTTGAGTCTGTTTGGATAAAATCTACTCATGTTAATGTAACACTGGTGGCGGTGTGTGCGTTGGCAAGAACGTCCTGGGAGGCGCTCTCTTTGGCTTTTGGCGAGGTCTGCCCCTCTGCTGTTTGCTCACAGCCTGTGGGGCTACCTGCTGCTACCTACTGTCCCGCGTGTTCGGTAAACAAATCATCATCAGCAAATTCCCAAGCAAAGTCGAGGCCTTGCAGAAAAAGGTGAGCATGACTAAAGGCAGTCAATCACTGAAGTGTAATGAGACATGACACTTTGCAGCATTTTCTTTTATGTACAGTAAAAGCTTGGATTGCGAGCATAATTCGTTCCGGAAACGTGTTTGTAATCCAAAGCACTCGTATATGAAAGCACTCGTATATCAGTTGTGATCACGTGACGCTCGGCAGACAAAACGTATACGTGCTACTCGTATTGCAAGACCTCGCTCGTTTTTCAAATTAATATTTATTTTAAAAAATTGCTCGTCTTGCAAAACACTCGCAGACCAAGTTACTCGCAATCCAAGGTTTTACTGTAATGTTACATGAAAACGTATTGTTTTTGTTGACAACTGATCACTACATCAGGCTGTAGTCAATTGAGCTGCATGGTGCCATAATAAAACTTGACGGGCAAATATAACATGTGACATTACTCTCAATTTTTCTTAAAAATGCTTTTAAATTGAGCCAACTTCTTTGGAGCCAAATATGATATTGTTTTATAAAGTATGTCAGCAATAATCATTGTTTGCGTTTTGTTATAATTGTTCTCAAAATATACATGGCATGAAATAAAATACGACATTGGTGATCTTTTGGCTCTTGTCGTTGGACTGTGTTGTCTTAACCATCATGTTACTACAAACAACTATTTCGTTTAAATTCATTACAGGCAGTCCTCGCCGTCGGGACACACAATGCTTTCCTGGAAACCCTGTCATAAATCGGATCGTTGTAAATCAGACTGTATTTCCCATAGTATAAACAGTAGAAACATCACTTGCCAATGTGTTTCTCCTTTTATCAGACATTTAATAGGGTTTAATATATACATTTTCTACAAAAAAAACACTCAAAAATAACAAAAGTTCCACGCGAAGTCACATCGGAAACCAGACTGACTGTTCAAATGTGTTGGGAGTCATGTCAGAAGATGTGTCGTAAATCGAGTTTCTGCGTCGTAAATTCATGGTGGCATTATGTATGTATGTATGGACTTCCTTTTCACGGTACGTAGCCAACCGTGCTAATCGGAGGTGCGGCAGAAAGTCAACAAACTAAACACAAAAAAGCAGTTCTTAACCAATGAGTTTTCAATTCAGATTTAAAAGTGCATCGCTCCAGTGGCTTCCTAATATCAGAAGGAAGAGCATTCCAGATGACCACAGAAGCGCATCTGAAAGCGTGTGTTGCAGTGACCGTCTTTGTTTAACGGTTAGCTAAAAGCACTGCGAGGATGACAAGCCTCGACGAGGATAAACCTCAAAAATGTGGATCCTCGTAAATCGGACCGTCGTAAACTGGATACCACCTGTATTTGGATACCACCTGTATTTGGATGCCACCTGTATTTGGATAGCAATGGTCCAACCCTCATGATCAGCGAAGAAGGATCTTCATTTGCTGAGCCATGAAGATTATGCCTTAGGCAAATGGATACAAATCAATTATTGGCATAGAAAAACCCAGTGAAGGACTCTTACTTTGCCAGTACTCTGGTATTTTGCTAAATTTGCACAGCTGCCCACCACTAAAAGGCCTTGATAATAGCCCACCATTAAAAGGCCTTGCTTATAAATGTGTAGCTGTCACTAAAATTAATTGTACATAATTCATGCATATATACAAGTCTCCATTGTTGCAACCGACTAATTAATTGAGTCCATGAAATGCATTCGTTAAAACAACACAGAATAATTAGCATGTGGTTTCACACTCGTACGTTTATTTTATATAGATGTTAATTGTGTGTTTGTAATTGTGTATATTTCAAGGTGGAAGAAAACCGTGAGAGCTTGTTCTTCTTTCTGCTGTTCCTGAGGTTCTTCCCAATGTCCCCAAACTGGTTTTTGAACATCACAGCTCCCATCATTAACATTCCCATCAAGCATTTCTTCTGCTCTGTGCTAATAGGTAAGCAAGGCTGATGACTGAGCTTAAAGTAAGATACAATACATACAAATATAAAAATGTTACAACTGTAAGGTTTCATTCCTCGTTGGTTCCACAAATAATCAGAATGTTTTGGTCATAAATCGATCAAAGAGTGGATTATTTTTTGCGTTATATTTCGATTTTTTTTACGTCTCGTACAGTTATGTATACTTCACGAGCACAAAGGTAGCACAAGAATTTCAATTGCATATACATTGAATAAAACAGTACATTTTCAAATGCACAATCTGATGCTCTTGAGTGTACATATGTTAATGACACAATGCATATGTCCAGTACAAACATTTTAATAAATATGCGCCTCGAGTTTCCTGGCTGGCTGCTGGCTGAGCTACCCCTTCACCCCAACAATAACTCTGCTGCGAGTGGCTTCTGCGGGCGTTACAACCGCAACTCGCTGCGTAACTGGATAAATGGGACTTTCCGCGCAACAAAAAAACCCATTCAATTGAATTTAAACGGCAGAAGACGTTTGGAAGGCAAATAATTATAATAGATGGCGACACCGAAGAGGTGGGAGTAACGAATTGAAAAGACTGACAAGGTTCCTTTACAATGGCTATAACTTTAACATTTGTGCATTTTCATTACGTCAAGAAACTGATTTATTTTAGTGTTCCGAGTACAGGATTGTGAGGAGCAAGGGAGGAGCCACAGGGGGTGCTGGGGGGGGGCTCAGCCCCCCCTGAAATTTTGTGAAAGTCGGTAATCGGGATAACCGGATGTCCGGCTGCTGCAAAATGCTGCAGGCTGCCACCTTGTGCTGTCACCTTGTGCTGTCACCTTGTGCTGCCCTGCAGGCTGCCACCTTGTGTGCTGCCCTGCAGGCTGCCACCTTGTGTGCTGCCCTGCAGGCTGCCACCTTGTGTGCTGTCCTGCAGGCTGCCACCTTGTGTGCTGCCCTGCAGGCTGCCACCTCGTGCTGCCCTGCAGGGTGCCACCTTGTGTGCTGCCCTGCAGGCTGCCACCTTGTGCTGCCCTGCAGGGTGCCACCTTGTGTGCTGCCCTGCAGGCTGCCACCTCGTGCTGCCCTGCAGGGTGCCACCTTGTGTGCTGCCCTGCAGGCTGCCACCTTGTGCTGCCCTGCAGGGTGCCACCTTGTGTGCTGCCTTGCAGGCCTACCACCTCGTGCTGTCACCTTGTGCTGCCCTGCAGGCTGCCACCTTGTGTGCTGCCCTGCAGGCTGCCACCTTGTGCTGCCCTGCAGGCTGCTTGAGCGGCAGCCTTTCGAACTTAGCGAACTTATTAGCCACATCAGCGGCTTCGACCTATTAATAAACTCCGCGTTCAAATCCAATAAAATTCGTTTTATACATTTGTGGCGCCCATTGTAAAACATAAACACTTGATATCTCAGAATATTGAAGTCAGCCCCCCCCCCAAAGTCAAAATCCTGGCTCCGCCCCTGGTGAGGAGGGTATGATCATTATTTACCATTGCACAGCAGCATGCTCTCTACGAGTAAGCTTAGAAATCAAGAACTGAAAGGCAAATTCAGGAGCACCGCTCCTGTGGCGTCTACGCAGCATGACAGCCAGACACCTTGAGGACTTGGCCAGGTCAGGCCACCGTAGGTCAGCACGAGATCGTGAACTCCAAACCCGGTGCTCTTTTATGGAGCCAGTTAGGGAGGGTCTCAGAAAACAATCGTTTTGTGAAAACAATCGTTTTCTGAAAAGACATTCCCACCAATTATATTTCGTTTGTCCGATCAGCGTAATTTTAAATAAAATAATTTCCTTTGGGAATTCTGCAGCTAGCAGTTGCATTTGTCTTGTGCACAGAGGACTGACCTTGAAGATTACTTCAAAGAACTCATTCTGAAGTTAGGTCATTAGGCCTGATTCATAATTAATTTAGACCTTTTTATCCATACGTGGACACATCTTTTAATGCTCTCTAAATATTGTTCATCGCATGTCAATAACATTGAGGATGTTTAGTTTTAGAGCTTGAATAAGCTTAATTCATATTATTGGTTCTTTCTACGTGACTTTACCGAAAGAACCAAGAATATGAATCCCTGCAGTCATGAAAGCTTTAAATAAAAAGCCTAATTAAGTGAAAAAACAAATATAATGAGAGTTTATTTTTGTAATTGTTGGCGACTTAACTAAGACCATCACTTTGCTTCACTTGAGAGCCCGGTTTTGATCACAGTTGACTGAAACCTGGATTAAAGCTCAGGTTTTTCAGCCGTGTTAGCTCCAGCCACCTCAAGTAATTTTTAGCAGCAGTTATAAACTGCTGCGTTGCCACTCAACTTTGTTCCTTTAATATTTTAAATAATATATCACGAGTTTCTGTTTTGAGTGGTTTCTGTCTTTCATTCGACATTAGTGTCATCATTTAGTACAACGATTTTAATCTTTACCCTATTATTTATTCTACGCTTGTTATTTTTACGTGCTTATTTGCTCGACTTCAGCTGTTATATTCGTCATCGTTAGTACACAGGTTTCCCCGTCACTGTTGAGATTGATCAGCAATGTATGAAAACAAACAGGTCCACAGTTTTATTCAATATCATTAATTCTAATCATCGGAAGCATGCATTCGCTATAGGTCATCATTTGTCATTCCGATTTGTTATGTAAACCTTTGCAGTGATGTATAGGGAGGCGCATAAAGGAAGGAACCATCATCTTATGTCTGTTTTATCAGCTCATTAGTGACGACGTGGCTGAACAAATTTCTACCATGGTTCTTTTTATTTAGCTGGTGTTGCTGCTTCGATCCATCTCAGTATTTCTGTTTGCTCTTCAAGGAAGAAATTAGGAAAAAAAAATTTTCCAAAATGTTTACATCATCGTCTACAAAGCATTGGGTCTGGCACTTTGATGCGCACCATACTATCCCAAACGGATTTTAACGAGTGGACAAAATGCCCCCTAATTGTTCCGCAGGCCTGCTGCCATACAACTTTATCTGTGTGCAGGCGGGTTGCATCCTTTCCGAGGTGTCTTCCCTGGATGACGTCTTCTCCTGGGCGACCATGCTGCAGCTGCTGGCCATTGCACTTGCGGCGCTGATGCCCGGAGCTCTCATCCAGCGTTGCAGCCACAGGCGCCTCAAACCTCTCGCCGGGGGAACTGACAATGGCCTGTCCATCGAGACACACAAATCCAAATAAAATGAGACTCTTCCTTGTCGCCCTCTCCTACTATTGTTTCCTCCACCCTTGAAACCAAGTGAACAAACCAGCTGGTGGAACCTAATGCCAAAAAAAGCAAATAGGTGGTGTTGCCTCTATGGAGGTTAAACCTATTCTGTACTCTGAGGGTACTTGTCTCACAACTGAATGTAATTTAGATTTGTTGCCCAAATGGATTCTGACATTGGTGATGAAGGTGTCTATTTTGTAGAATGAGAATTAAACGAAAGAGGGATTGTTTGGAATACTGAGCAAGGAATCATTCTGCAAGGCAGCTTCTGCAAATGCATCGCTTGTGGCATTTGGTCGTTGGTTATAATTTTGAAATGGCACAGGTGCACAGTAGTTACTCGAACAGTGTTGTCTGGAATGGACAGTCAAAAATCATTGAGAACGTGACAATACAAACGTGTATGTACGATACTCTTCACGTTTAACAATTATTGCATTTGTCACTGTGCTCATGTTACTATAGAATAGTATGTGATTAATACGTAAAATTGTGAATTCAAGATAAGTTTAGGAGTTTGTACAACTTCATGATCACATTCTCTCAATGCTTGACCTGATGCTGTATATTCACACACTGTGTATGTACCTGTGCATATGCAAACTACATATGATTTTAAGACGTAAATAATTTAAAGGGTTTTTTTACATTTATAAATCCAACCAATTATGATACTTAGAATGTATGACTAATTTTGCACTCAAATTTCAAACAAGTGTATTATAAGAATTCAGGCTGTGAGGAGGGTGTAATTATTTATTGCATCAAAGATGCATTTAATTGTCTCAAATTTGGTGGTCACAATTCACTTTCCAAATCCACTCTTTGTTTTTTGTTCTTGTGCATGTGGAATCCATACCAGATGCAGGGTGCCATGAAAAAATTGTCGAGCAAATGTTCTGAAACTCACAATTGTAGGCTCTTGTGTACTAATGGGCGTGAAAATTGCATTGCTTTCTTAAATCTTTGTTTTTAAATTCTTCCTGATGTTAACTCCTCTCACTGATGCTTGACTACTCACATTGGCATTGCACTACTATTTCAGACATTACATTTTCATTTTGGAAAGCATAATAGGGTACGTATTTAAATTCCATGTGGTGGTCCCTAAGGTCTGGAATAACCGAGTGAAATTGTTTGGGATCTAAACGTCCTTGTTCTACATTAAATCACCTTTGGATCTCAGATTTACTTTCAAGTGTATGTGGTTTGAAAACGTAAGTTATCATAGTTTTTGTTTGTGAAGCGTTATTCTAGCCTTGTATTTTGTTGTCCTAGAACCATTTTGATTGCACGACTTTGTCATTAGAAACTTGACCATGTACAGTTGAATCTTTATTGTTCTTGGTGCTTTGCTGTGACCAGGTGTCTGGTGGAACCAGGTCTAAATCGGCAATGAGCATGTATTACTCAATGGGGTTTACCTGCGCCAAAGTAAAACCAAATATAGTTGTGGTCAAATGAAAACTAAAGTTAAAATTCCTGTATTCAAATTATTGCTTTATCATTTAATACTTTGAAAACTAGATATGTAATAAACATGACAATTGTTGAGTGTTCCCTAAGCTTTGTTTTGGTAAACACTGTCAAACACATAGGATTTAAATGTTTCCAGAATACAATAAAACAACTACAAATGACATTAATTCAATTATTACGGTTATTTTACATTATTGACAGCATACTAGATGAAACAACACGAAATATAATAAAAAAAATTCCGCTTGCCAATCCATGAGGGCAGCAACTTCACGATTGAAATAATTTATTCCTATTGATTAATCAAATAAATTGCAATACAATTTATATACCTCTGCAAAAGTAATAGCCACATGAGGCAACAAAAACATTTGATGTGGGTGGTAATTTGTGAAGTTAATTATCATCTTCACTCACTGCATCACATTTGCATTGCTGTGAGTTTCCTGTGTTTTAGAGGCCAGATTCCTGGCGCTGCCATAACATAGCTGTCAATTAAATTGTTTCAATAATCATTGCATATACTGCGAAGTGAAATGCCAGCTAAGTTAAAATGCCAAATAACTTTATGCCTGATACATTTTAATGGTAGGTTATTGAAACATGATTGTTATAAATTTGACTGCACTTTATTTAGCTGTGTATTGTCACCCTCTTAAGAGATCTTGCACATTAAAACATCTAAAATATATGGAATGCTATTCGCGTTTTTAAAGGACTGTATAACGATGCAATGTTTTATTGTACTCACAATTGGGATTACACCGATCATTCATTACCCCCTACTGGCAATTGCCCATTTTGCAGGCCAGTGCCGAGTTGCCTCGTGCTGCATAGTGACAGCTGTCACTGGGGGTGCCCTAATGTATGAGATGTGATGCAAAGCGGTTTAAGTTGCTGGGGAATTTAAGTGCCAAATAAATGAACAGAGTATTAATTTTCCAACATTCTGGCGAATTGCCCGATGATGCTGGATGTAATTACCAGCGAAACGTCGTACTCAAACTGTAAATGTTGTGGATTCACTCTTCAACACACCGGTGGGCTAAAGTAGCGAACTAATTGCCTTTTGTCAACGTGACACTTATTTGTTAATTGGCCGTGTCGGGTGGTGGAGGGTTACGACACATTTATATTGGTAGGAACGAAGTTGTAAACTGAGTGTACCAGCCTGCAATAGATGAATGTGTCCGTCCGTCCGTCCCCTTTCAATACTTTAACGAGGTGAAATCTCGTGCTGTTGGGTGTAAAATCAGCAATAGACAGCGCAGAGACTTGTCCTACCAGCCCACCCTGCAGGGACCTGTTAAATAACGCGATCTAACCCAACAACCTTTATTATGAGTAATATTGGTCGCGAAAGCCTACGTGTTAAACTATTAATTTTCCAGCTGTCTTGGAGTTGTCTTACGAGTCCATGGACATCCAGAGAGAGTTGAACACAGTATTCACGGTACACAGGTGTACAGGATAACTTGTGAATGGAGATGTAATGCATTCCATCATATGTTATAGTGTTTCCTCTTAGGAAACTAGAACAATTCGAATATATTTGTCCATATCAGTCGAGGCCAGTACGTTGTCGTGCCATGGATGAGAACCACGTTGGGCGGGACTCGCATTTTTTTTATGCAATACAGTGCTATAATTCCTAATTTCAATGAACACCTGAAGGAAATGGATCCACGTTATTGAAATGCAAGAGACAACGTGTTTTCTCAAGTTTATTTTGTATTGGATACAGTGAGATCATGCAATGAATGTTTTCCTTAAGTTAATTATATACACATTTGACAATAACCTACAACACAGACCTCCACTGTGTTCATAACAGTAATTAATTTATACAGGTGTCTCCTTTTAATGAAGTTGACGTTATTTTTTAAAAAAAGGTTTTCAAATAATATTTTCCAAATAAAGTGCATTTAAATGTCACAGTACAAAATAAATAGATAAATAAATACACTGCATAGAATTTCAAAGATTGCAAAATAAAATATTTAAAAACAGCACATCCAAATATATGTTTCTGTGCCATTTTAGTTGTTCACATGAATGTAAATAATTTAATAAATAACATACAGTCTTTAAGATCAATTCCATACATAATGCACATTTATAAATAGTGAATCTATACTGCTGGGGCGTTGGTAGAGGCAGTTGGTACAGACATGCTGAAGTGTCTTCTAACACAACTGTGTAGGTTTGATTGGTGATGAGAGTGACTGACTAATTCTCTGTAGGGATAATTAGTTGTCTGCAGTTGCAACTCTATGAGCAGTTTGGCTCGTCTTTTTAATTATGCCGTGAGTTGGGATTAAGTCGTCATAAATTGCAGGTGCATCTTGAAACATAGCTGCAAAAATGGCAACATGAATGAACTGTGGAATCTTCACTTCTCACAAACTGACCCTCTGCCCTTCAATAGCACACAGGATAAATCCAATTTAACGTGCATTGAACATTTAACATTGCAAAAAATAAAACAGGAAATACTGTAATCTGTTTTCTATTTGTAGGACACATTATTAAATTGTGCCTTCACGTAAATTAAATCATTTGTGCACTATTGAAGGGCAAATGGTATGTAAATAAGTTATCAGTGCATTGATCAGTCAGCAGTATTATTTTTGACTGGTGGTGCATTTAAGGTCGTGGCTGTGTTGTATGCTGAAGGCATAGTGCCTTATTTCATCCCAGTGTCCACAATCATCTTTAAAACTAATATCTGTATCATCCTGCAGAAGTCTGTTACCAGTCTACCCGGGTATTACTGTTATGGGTTGCATTAAAGAGCAAGAATTAGGCAGGTTATTGAAACCTTGGAAAACGTTTGTACTCGGAGCCAGGCTAAGGTGATGAGAAAGGCTAATTCACTATTGATTCAAATATTTGTAGGGCTTATGAATATCAATTTTTATATAATTATATGGAAGCCTTATTTCATAGCCTCCTTAATGTAATTTATATTTAGATTATTATTTTTAAAATGCAACACTCTTTCATTCCTTTCTGCAACTCCAACAATCTGCATTAACATTTTCTCAACATAAAAATGAACCCTGGTCTTTTTGTGAATTATTCTTGTACAACACAGCGCCATCTAAGCTGAATTAAAAGTCGCTCCGAGGCAGACCCGGTCACATAAAATATATTCATGTAGAGGAGCTCTATTAATAATAAGCTTCTTTACAAGGAGGTCTTTAAGTTGTATTAACAATCTGTGTAAATAAACTTGCTAAAAATGTATTTTAAGCTTTGTGAAAGATCGTTGAGTATTTTTTTCTCATTTTGGTGTACATTGAAGTTTACCCTATGTCCTATGCAATCTATCGGTACTGTATTTAAAAAACACATTTATTCTTGCAGTTTAACCATCAAGAGTGAGTTTTTTTGTTCCAGTAGGAACCCAGTAGTATTGGTCCCAGGTTATATGGTAAATGAAGTTACCATATTACTTGAAAATCTCATAATAAAAATATATATTGTAGACAACATGAACCAAGCTTAAGATGTGGCCTGCGTGTGAGACTGAGAATCAGACACTGGGATTAAATGCATTCCATTACAGTAATCATATACCATTTTCAAATGATATTGACTTTGTAATTATACATCTGGCAATGGAGACAATTCCACGAATATGTAGCTCTTCAAAAAACTGTATAGATGATTGAGAGTTTACAAAATAATGTCCATCACTGGATATTGTACTAGGGAAGGAACAGAGAGTATTTTAAGTCCCAAATGCATAATTGTCAACAAGGCTGCATTTATGTCAAGATGTGTGCCCGTCAGGGATTGGCAACATTCAGTACTTGTATTGGTAAATGCCACTGCCTAAATGCCAATAACATGTTATGTTAATTCATAATGCACAACCCTGACAGAATGATACCCTATTGGCAAGAAATACAAATGTGGTTTGGCTAAACATCAAACAAACCCAAGCCTGTAAACAAATACATCTCCCTTAGCTGCTATGGTAGCATTTATGATGCTTGTTCAGAGCTCAAAATATTTTTTTACTTATATTTTTATTTTATTTGATCAGGTAAGGCCCACTGAGGGATATAACTCGTTTTCAGAAGCGACCTGGCCACAAATGATAGCTCAATGTGGCTTATCATATGGACATTTATAGCAGCCAAATACTCGAAATGCATGTTTATAAATATGGAGGAAAAAATCTGAGGACCAGGAGAAAAATCCACATGACCACGGGGAGAACATGCAAACTCCAAATATACAGGCGTTAGGGTTTGGATAGAATCCAGAACCTGTATACCAGGCGAGGTAGTTAACATCTCACCACCGTAGCACCCCAAATCTAATTTGGACTTTCCTTGACTCGTTAAGATGTTTACTTTTAGTTCCAGTTAAGCATGTATACCAATCCTACGGCAGACCAAGGTATCACATAAATAAGGTAAATACATGGTGGATGAATCTCTGATTGAAATGGCATCACATTTGAGGATACAAGTATTGTATGAACCTTACTTTTTTTCTGCATCTTATTGTACTGTAAAACTGATCCACTTAAGGAAATCCCTGAAGTCGTCAAGTAGATACAGGGTTCAACTAAAAACTCCGTAATCCAGAGCAAAGTGAGCCATCTCGGGTATTCCTTAAAGTGGGTGTGCATTTGCAAGTTCAACGGATGCCTGGTTTGACCGGTACAATGGAAAACTCGGGACCGGTCAATATGCTCCCGAATGTGGAGTTAAATTAAACCTTGAGTTGAATACCGGTGGTAGTGTGTTTACAGCATTAGTGAAATGGTTGTTTAAAAAAAAGAAACATTTTTTTTTACGGAATTAAGTGCACTTCCATTAAAGCACAGCAAGTAGCGGTCACGTATAATGGACCGTAATGTATATTGTACAGCAATAGCTTTATAAATGGAACGTTTAAAAAATGGAACAAAAATCCCTTTAGGTTGCTTTTAGCCTTATTTTTGCAATGCGTACCTAATCAGTGCTGTTTTAGAACTGAGCGGCAGAGTCGACAATGATGAGATTGGAGGGAGCCTTTTTTTGGAGACGAAGTAAAACCTTGTTGTGGATTTCACGAAGAAGCCTCCAATGTGATTTCCAGATGACCCGCCAGACTAATGTTAATTGAGATTATTTAAAAGCATTATGACAACGGTGATGATGTCGCACGCCAGAGCACGTCCACCGCAGCATCCGCTGCGCAAATGGCCGTATGCTATAATGTAAAACATCCTTCACAGAGGTCAGATCAAGCCAGTGGCAAGTCCACTCATCACCGGTTCTTGTAAACAAAATCAGCAGTCCAATACCTGTCCAGCTATGTTTACAAGACATTTTCTGTCAGTGAAAAAAAGCCGTTACTTATGAAACTACAAGGGACAATATTTGTTTTATCTTATGACAGGCTCCCCATAATGCCTTAAAAATGAGCTGTCAAGGGGAGCTTAAATAAAATATATGCCTGTCCCTTCATTATCGAGACACTGGCTTCTATCACGCTCACCATCGCACATTTGCTGATAAGTGCACTGTAATTACATGCTCTGGATAAGTGAGGGTATGCCTGATGTTTTGGTATATTGTGGGATGTGCTCTGTTAAACAGAGACAATTTTGACCACAACACATCTCTATGAGGATTAAAGAGCTATACACCCGGAATCTCCAGCTTGCCGCTTCCACCCCACCACACCATTGAAAAACAGAACTGAAATAGCACTGGGTACCAAATAGTAGTACACATGATATCAAGCTCAGCACATTTAAAATCTGCAATTGTACGAGTGGTCAAATCATACTACGGTACACTATGCATACCGTATGCGAGCAAGGTGTGTTCAAAATGTTTTGGGAATGGGACGTGAACAGTTTGCACAATTTTTTCTTTTATCAATTAGCCTACAGCAACAAAAGTAACCGCTATTATTGGCGTATAACATGACATAGTGCATTTATGGAGCTAACGAAATCAAAATAAAGCGATAATTTCGTCTGAGCATTTTCATTACGTCAATTCTCAAACCATTTTGATCACAACTTTGCGTACAGTATATATAAAGCAAGTTTATGGAATAAGCGTGACAGCATGCGAAAACATGGTGGAAACTTTACAAGCCTTCAGCCACTTAGTCTCCCCGCTAAGATATTGAAAATCTGTACACGGTTCATGAATGTTTGAGAGAATTGCCGAGAATCCGCTGGTATTCAGTGGGATCCACAGCCACAATCGCATTTGTTATCCAGCAAGTGGCGTTACCTTGATACTGATCTTTTTTGTGTATTAGCTGAACGGCTGTATTTATACACGTACATGTACTGAATATATACGCATACTGTACACGTTTCAAAAAACGCTAATGTGCCTAAGAGACAGAAAATGAACTACTCAAGACGATTGCGGTGAATTCCGTTGTATAAACTGAAGCACCCATAGCTAGGTTACTGTATTTGTCATTAGTTTTGCGATTTTTTAAAATAATTTTGTACACAGTTTGATATATAGATACGCAATGACGAGCACTTTACACGTATAATATTTTTTTCTCTTTTGCAACTTCACGGCGAAAGGTATCGGGATGTTATTTTAGTGGCACGTTGATTTGAAACGTAATCAGGTGAGACGTGACCTCACCGCAACCGCGTTACAATGCACAGGCAGGTAGCCTGCTTTGATCAAATTAATGCTCGTGCATACTATTCCATGTTGATCGCTTTCCCTACCCCTTGTCTGACCAGCCACTTTATTAATAAGTGGAAGCCATCAGGGAGATCTGGGACAAGCTGGCTGTATTTCACAGGCAACATTGAACCACGTTCATTCTGGCCACGGAGATATGTTGTGTCGGTGGGCAGCTAAGCCAACATGTAGTTGAGGATGTGAAGGTAACATTGAGTCAGTTGGGCTTATCTTCAACACGTGTGAACAATACGGTCCACGTTTTGACATCAGGTTTCTAGTGCGAATCACGGTCTTATTTAGAGTTTAACCCTTGCCCTAGCAATGAAACTGGGTGCCAAACTTTCCTGTAAATATTCTATACCAATCTCCTGGGTACTCTCAATGGTCTTTAAAGCCCCTGTAGCACAATTTAATAAGATGTGTGCTGTGGTAATTGTTTATGACGATTTATGTATTCGTAATATTGTGTCCAAATATTGCACGAGTATTTTTCTTTTAAAAAATCCATGTTACTGTCAGCGTCATTGGGCTGTAAGATTTGATTGCTTTGTTGTTTTCACTCACAGTCACACTGACTCGAATCCACTGAAATACCAAGATTCATGCCTCTAAGACGAAGCTTCTGTTAAAACGGGAGTGACTTTATAAGTACGGATGACTTGGACCTAAACAATGTTTTCATTGAGCTTGTGTAGCATAGTGCCAATGCCAAGGGCCCAATTCTCTGCCCAATATCTCCTGGCAATATGAAAACGGTCTCTCAGATACATTGTTTGGTTTGCCATTAAATAATTTCAACCAGAACTCCGAAGCTGTGCATGGTAAAGGACACCACAACCGACGCGCATTTCCATCCTCAAATACATTGTTAAATATCATGGTGTCATTCAATGGGTTTCCAATAAGTAGAAGGAATAACCCGCAGAAATTATATCATATAAGGTGAATAACTGACTGTTTTCCAATAAGGAAATGTCTCTTTAATGGCTACGTTAGATTTAATTCATTTTGAGTTGCATGTTCTACAATACAGAAAGTATGAGTTAAAATGAAAACCGTTATGGCTTGGAATGGTTTCATCACCATTACTCTGTTGTTATCATCTTGACAAATATAAGTTTATGAACTCCATGCATACATTTTGCATCATCCACATTACCACTGGATGGATTTTACTTCTGCACTGTCACAGTCGTTCATAATGCCCTCGTATCACATAGCACCTCAGTTGATGAAAACCAAAACACAAATTTGGACAGGTTTTCAAGTTGAGTGCTACATGCACATCCTAAGATCGTAAACATTCATTTTGCAGGCCAGAAAAAAAATTACGCCTCGAGAAACTTTCGAATTGGCAAACGCATGCTTCAAATTACAAAGAGCTCAGGAACATGGGCGTTACCGTGTACTGTCGTAATTCGACACAGGCACTGTTTAATCATGTTCTGAAGCCAGTTTGTCTTTGGAGGAATGTAGCTGTCAAGTTTTTCAACGGTGCACAATTTTATTCGACCAATCTCACCTGCAGATGATCTGAGTTCCAATAAACTTTAAAGCCTTGGGGTTTATCAAATTTGTATATGCCCGCAAACTGGGAAATTAACAAGGTGAATTATAAACATAAAAGCACCTTATAAACACATTTCTGATATAATTAGTGTGAAACACACTGTGTTGTTTTTTGGAAAATATTTTCCGTTTTATGTAACAATCCACAGATACATCCTGATTCATAATCCAGCTGATGCCAGTTTGGTGTGTGACTTGAGAAGAGTGGTAGACTCAAAACATTGGGTTGATGTCCATTGATTAGATGTTGAAATGTACGAATGCACCCATTTCAACATTCTGCTGTGTCCAAGTCCATGTTGCAGAACTTGGAAACAAGTAGAAAACATTTGTGTCGTGAACCATTAATTCAGTTTAAATGTATTGGCCACGTTGGTGAAGGGTCAATAGCAGGATATTATTTACTGCATTGCTGTGATGGCTTTAGGAGTTATTGGGAATGGAATCACGCATGCCTTCTTTATCATCCACCGTGCGTTCTTCAAACCACATAAATGATACCTGGTGACCCAGAGGTAGTGCTATCGCATTTGAGTTCGAAGTCACCAGTTCCAACGAAATGGCCTTTATTTTGGCCATGTCACATTCACAATATCAAAGCATGCGTTAGCTTTTCCAGGAGTGAATCTATGCATGCACAAAGTGCTGCTCCAACATCAGTACAGCAGCTGGTACGTATGGACTGCTGTTGTTTATGCAGGGTCAAAAAACACATTCTGCATTAACAATGAGCAACAAAAGAAAGTATTAATTCAATCTTCAAAACTTGCCAATTTATAATAACACAAATGTGATGTGCAAAAGAAAAAATCCTCAGAACTCTGCTAAACGTCCGCGTTTGAGAAAACATAGTTGTCATCAAGCCCATAAGATGGCATAAAAATAAAAAAAATTGTGCTGCTAATGGCTAAATTGGGCTGTTACTACTGTACTGATAGAAAGTATTCATAATTTAATTGCATTTCGCATGCCACTTAACTACTCTGCTTCAAATGTGGTAATTTATAACTAGGTGGATTTTTATTATTTTCAACTCAGAAAATTATCTCCCACTTTTCCATGCTGTCATACCTTCCATGTTTAGTGTGTAAATTGGAGTGCTGTGTGTGCATGCACGTGACCTAAATTTTCTCTTTAATTCCTCTGCACAATTAAATCGGAAATTTATCCAGCTCTCTATCCCATGTCTGGTGCAAGCCAAAGAATTACATGGAACTAATATCCAAAATCAAAGAGCACTGGCCACATTTGATGTGAGCCATCTGGATTTTTTTTACAGTGACATTTAACCACCTCGTGTGCAAGACACAGCAGGACACCTGCAATGCTGTATCCATTCCAAACAAACACCGGAATCCAGTCCATGATTTTGCTGTGCACCTTGTATAATTATATCAGCATTTGTCATTTCTTGCTTCGTTTGTAATGCAGGCATCTTTCTGTTAAATCGTCTCATCCAACATCGAGCCAACTAAAGCAAACAGCCCACCTATCAAGAGAATGGCTTGGGCCTTACTCAACCATGGCTTACTCCGGTTGAAGGAAACGTTATGGCCAGCACCCATACCAGCAGCCTGAAACGTCATTGCATTCGTTGTAATTGGTCATGCAAAAAAACATTATTGGGACCACATATATGGGACACCAGCATCCAGAGGCAGTGGTGGGCTTGAGGGTAAGTGACTGGAACATTAAATAGTCAACTACAATATATAACAGCCTACCTGATGACATTATTTGTTTGGCTAATTATTAAATATTCAATATAAACTTCCTACATTGAATTAAACAAATTAAGGCTATCTTTGCAAACTTGGAATTTGGATGAATTCTAGCTATTGTTTTTATTTTTATTTTATTTTGGATCTTTAACGTTTCCTTTTCAACAGTCGATACGCTTTGGTATAGGTGCAGCCCTGCAATTGGTCGCTCACGCCACTGTTGGCGGAAGGGCGTCCACTCGAGGGAGCTCGAGAGAGCCCCTCGAGGATAATTTGGCGGACTCTACCACACTGGCCAGACATCTTGGAAGAGGTGGCAGGACCCCTCCTGAAAAAGAGTCATGGATTCAGTGAGGCTTTTGTGGGTAAACAGGTATCATAAATGAATAAATTGTCGGAGTACCCACACTTTACCCTGCCACACACATCCTGCCGATCGATTGTAGCGTATCCATTTATATTGCTGGGTGGACAGAGTCGAGGAGGATTTAATAAACTTGCACCAACGTTTTAACTGCTGCACTCTTCTGGAAATCAACTGTCAACCAAACACTTTGATAGATCTAGTACCCAGCCTACAACTTACATTTATAGTAGTGCTATTTACACCCTGTCAAAGGAAAGCCTTAAATAAAAAAAACACATGATTATGCAATTAAATGGGTGAGCATCCAGCAATGTCACTTCTTTAAACCTGGCTCAAACATGTCATATTATTTGAGTATTTCATAGTTCCTACCAAAAAGTCCACCACTGGCCAGGCAGACATAATAAATTCAGGTTTTTCCCGACTCGCCAAACAAGGTTTGACAGAGAGCCGATAAAAATTAATATAAATCCCTTTAATAATTTAAATATTCCAAACAGACATCAGCAATCTGCGAAAGCATTGCTTGGGTCAGGGAAACATGAAGTACTATTTATTATTCTGCTGGTCACATTTGTTGCGTTGGCTCAGCATAATGGCCATGGCCATATGAGGACTTCTTGTCACAATGGATCTCGCTCAGCTGGCAGCACCTGCCCAGTTAATCCACATCCAAGTCGACGAATCCACGGCAGACGCTCGCTGTGGTCAGCTTCGCAGCAGTACCGCCGGCAGTGCGACCAACCGCACTGTGACCCCTACCACCGCTGGCACTACCAACACCACCACTGCCCCCGGCGCCACCTCCAACGAAACTGCCGCCGCCGCCGCTGAGCTCGGTGGAGCTGGTGAGTGCCGAGGCCGGGAGGTCGCTCTCCACGTCTGTGGCAGCCCCGAGCGAGTGCTCCGATGACCGCTCCCGCTCCTCCTCCGAGGCCGAGCTGTGGCTGTCAGAGGCTGAGCTGCTGGCGCCGAGAAGGGACCTGCCCCATCACGGCGACACGTGGTCAGAACTGGCGAACGATGGCAACACGTGTCTGTGACCAAAGCTTCGTAGGTGGTGTCGGTGGACTGCCAGATGTCTACTTGGTGGCCAGCAGTCCAGCAAATGGGTTACTGATCTGTTTGATTTCAAATTAGCCTCGTACATGCATAGGTTAGAGCCTTGCATTCCAGTTCCTCTCGCACAGTTTGTACTTAATTGGCATGCCATGATTTACCCAACAAAACCACCCTTCCCAGGGATTCCTTGCATTCAAATCATTCAGGGTCACGATTCGATTCTAGAATGGATTATTTTCTGGGTTGTTTTCACCATCTCATTTGTACATGAGAATATCAATTGCATACAATTGATGTTTCACTATACAATTTTTTATAAATTGTATAGTTAAATAATCAAATCTTACACACATGATTAAATGCACGTATCATGAGCGTAAGCTTTAATGTATCTATGTATTTTGCATGCCTAGTACTCAACAAGGAATTTGCTAAACATCCCACTGGTTGGCCGTTCTGATAGCATCTTGAGATTTGGTGAGGCTTTCCTGGAAAAGCTCCGTTATTGTTGTGGATGTGCCCATGTCTCCATAGCTAGTCGGGATAGGAGTGGTGCTATAGCAACCTATTTGCCTATTAATTAGTATACGGCTTTATATATTGTATTTATATTTTTAGAACCGTTGATATATGCTGCATAAATACAGTGTACATTCATAAACAGTAGATTAACAATAATTTACAGCGCTATGTCTCATTTACCGCATGGATGAAGTCCTCTCTGTGCCATTTGGCTGTGGGTGTTTATTTGACCATACTTCACCATTCTGGTCAGTGCAGGTTAGCAAATGAGGTCGCCCATGACCCGTTTAGATATCACGCGCCTCTGGCTGGGAATCAAACTATTGTCACTGGGTTCATCGTGCAGTGAGCGAGCCGCTGCACCACCACCCCAACCCTCTTATCTATGAGAAAACAATGGCAAAGAACAGACCATGGAATACATTGCTTCTCCAAAATTCCAAGGGGTCGTTATAACAACTCCTAACATTAATACGTTGGGCACCGGGAAGCAGAAAGCAGTGACAGGATTCCAAGGTGATTTGGAACACGAGAAATAAACAGGCCCTTTGCTGAACTCGGCATACTATGCTCGCAGGTATATAATAATAATAAATACATTAGCAAAGCATATCGTTATTTTAAACAAAGCAGCTAATCAATTCACCTTGTTTTGTGCAGAAAGTCTGCTTCACTTTCCACCTCCCCTTCTTCGTCCGTGGTCTCGCCGGTGCCCTTGGGGTGAGAGCACACGGCAGCGCTGACGTCAGACAGAGCACCAACACCTCTGCACCCCCCCCCCCACACCCCCTGAGGACCACCCAACATCAGGTCTCGCACGAATGTGGTGAAAGGGATGAAGCCGAAAGAGGGTGCACGCCTTTCTGCGATAAATGTCGCCCGTGCTGCATGGTCCGTCACATTCAGGAGTGCTGTTCCGGGGCTTCCGAAAATCACTTTGAATTCCAAAGTTGGCACGAATTAAACGTGATCCCTTGTGAACAGTGGAAATGTAACGTGACAATCAAGTCTCTCGCCAAATGTGTTAGGAGGCTGGTGGAAGATCCCAATATGGGGCCTCTCTGCTTTTATGTATGTGCCGAGTGTATATTATTATTAGATAAATCCTCAATAGAAGATAATTATTACTCTTTGGTTCTTTCAGTAAAGTCACGTAGATAGAAAAATGTCTAATAGATCACGACGTTTCGATAGCAACACAAGCCATCGTCTTCAGGTGAAACAATACAGCAGGCTGACTACTGAGGCAGGAGGAAATCAAATAAAGATAGAATAGAATTATTTTTACAAATGTTTCTCTTCTTTGTTCAGTGTTGAACAGTTCACCTTTACTTTAAAGTTGAATTAAGTAAACCACTTCTGAAGAGACACATCCTTTCCCCCACAAGATTTTGTAAATTATAAGCCTGTTCCTAATAACCTTACGAAATTGACTGGAAAAGCTTTGGCAAATCAGCTTGAGGATTACTTTTTTTTAAATGAATTACAGAAAAGTTTCGGTCTGGCTTTTGCTCAGGTCATCGTACTGAGACCGATACAGTCGTGATCTCCTGCAGTTTGCCAGCACCAGACAACCGTCTGTTTATGAGTTGATTAATCTTTCTGCTGCTTTTGACATTGTGGACCATAGGATATTATTGGAGACAGAATTACATTGGCATGATAGGTTTTGCTGTGGAATGGATTTATTCTTATTTATTACACCGACGGAGATTCGTCTCTCTTTGAGACAGTATTCATCTCAGACAGGTGACATGAAGCATGGAGTTCCACATTACCCCATCCTTGGTCCCCTACTTTCCAGTGTACATTTATACATCGTTGGATACATTTTTAACATATGACCTTGGCTTGAACTGTTATGATATATATCGTGATATTACATGTGTAATGAGCGACTTCCGCGACACGTCGTGTAGAGGGTACTTATTTTATTTCTCACACTGGGCACAACACAGGCTAACACTTATTCGTCTCACTCTGAGCACAACACTTAGATATCAACGTCTCTACTGGCTACGCACAGCCGATCACTCAGCGTGGTCCCCTCGCCCTCACTCGGCCACGTCGCTGGCTGGCAGCGTGACGATGATGGCGATGGAAACCCCGCAGGAGATCAGCGACGCAGCCAGGAACCAAGAATCCACACACGAACCCCAAGCCCCGGGTCCGCGCCCGCTTATATCCCCCCAGGCGTGGCTAGGCCCCGCCTCCAGCCACGCCCTCTTGTGGAACCCTCGAGCACGTTCCCGGAGTATCTCGGCTAACCCCAGCTGTTACCTTCGCCCCAGATACACCTCCTTCTCTGATTGGCTGTTACTATAACCGTGCCCATACCCGTGCTTCCCTTTCCCGGCCAGCAGATGTCACCATGTCATTACACATGTATTAAACTGAACACATTCATCAATAAACATGCCTTAAATGGAAAAAAATCATAATAGTTGACGTTTTGGCAATGGCCCTTCTTTATAGCACATAAACGAATTATCAACAAATAATTTAACCAACTATATTGTTCTTTTCCTACTAAACCACAGACGGCAGTCTCTATGCTACCGCAGTGTCTGGATGAAATTTCTTCATGGATGTCTATAAATGATCAGAAACAAATTAGAATTGAAGGGGGGTGCTATTCGTGTGCTCTAGTTGCAGCTTAACGAACCCCCCCCCCCCCCCCCCCCACATTGAAATGCCCATTGGTCGTAATAATGTTGACTACATCCAATATTGTGGGAAATATATATTAAACGGAACACATTCGTCATTAGCTCTGGTACAAAGGCCTCTTTTTATAATTTGTTTAATATTGCCAAATCGATATCCATTCTATCCGATACAGATGCTGAGATTCTGGTTCATGCATTTTTTATTCCTTGGAACAATGGAGTTTTTTTCTGGTCTTTCTGTTACGAAATTACATAAATTCAACTGTGCTACCGCAGTGTGTAATGGCAGGCGGCGTGACGATGATGGCGATGGGACCACGCCGAGTGATCAGCTGTGTGTAGCCAGTAGAGACGTTGATGTCTAAGTGTTGTACTCAGAGTGAGAAGAATAAGTGTTGGCCTGTGTTGTGCCCAGTGTGAGAAATAAAAGAAGCACTCTCTACACGACGTGTCGCGTGACTTTACCGAAAGAACCAAGAATATGAATCCCTGCAGTCACGAAAGCTTTAAATCAAAATTTAACCGCCTCTACGGGGAGGGTTTCCACATAACTTTGAGATCCTTCAACAAACTCCGGGATAAGAAGGCTCAGCTGATCGAGTCTCTCACCTTTCTGAAGAGATGCCGCGACTCTGGGGTAATACCAATCGCATTTACACTGACCTCTGCTGCTGTAACTTCTTCTAATGCGAAACGAATTATTTCTAGAACTAGCTTAGCTCTTATTTCAGAAAAAATCAGACTTATACGCACCGAACTAGATCAGTTAGACAAGACACTCTACAAATCACATCATTGACGGCAACAATGTCCACATCGAAATGGGAACATGTAGACAATATGACTGCCTCTTCAGCTGCCACTGTCAACCAAATGTAAGGACAACCTGATTTCCAAATTTAACTTCCTCTCCAACAAAAGACCGCACCCACATACCAAAAAGCTAGACGTTAACAAAGTCGTAATTAATCGCAGTAACAGTTCTACTTCCGATGGTCTGAAATCCGTTTTAGCTAAAGGGCTAAACTTTGCAGTCACACCTAAACACATATCAGTTAATGATATCATTGCCCAAGTAGACATGGCTCTCAAGGGCCTGGGTTATATCGCTGCAGACGTAGCAAGATCTGAAATCGCTGCAACCCTCAAAAACGCTAAGATGCCAGCTAGCAACCTTAGCAAAGATGAGCGTTTTGAATTATATGAATTTAAAAAGAGGGATGACATTTTCATCCTCTCAGCTGACAAGGGCAATGCCACTGTCATCATGGATAAAATAGAATATAACAACAAAATTCAAGAATTACTCAACGATGGCAGCTATACAAAAATAAAAAGAGATCCCACCAACAGCCACGTCATACAAACCAACAAAATCATTTCTGATTCAACCGCATTAATTGATCAAACCAAACAGTTCTCGTTGAAACCTTCTGCTGCCAGGCCACCAAGATTATACGGCTTACCAAAAATACATAAAGTAGATACACCCCTTCGTCCCATCGTCTCTACTTTCAAGTCCCCCACCTACAAACTGGCTCATTTTCTGTCTGGAATCCTGCGGCCTTTCACTGGAAAAAACACCTCTGCGGTACAAAATTCTACTCACCTGGTATCGACAATCACGGGTATTTCCCTGTCCTCAGACGACCTGCTTGTCAGTTTTGATGTAGTTTCCTTATTCACCAAAGTTCCTGTACCTGACACCATCGCAATCATTTAAGACTTGGTTCATCAAGGACTAAACACTGAGGTACCCCCCCTGGTGAGACACTGCTTAACCAATACATACTTCACTTGGAATGGAACTTTCTACAAACAAACTGAGGGCACCCCAATGGGCTCCCCCCTATCTCCGGTTGTAGACAATATTTTCATGGAGAAATTTGAGACGGACGCCATCCAGACTGCCACTCTGCGCCCAACCTTATGGAAGAGGTACGTGGATGAAACTTTTGTCATCTGGCCACATGACCGGCCTGCTCTAGACCAATTCCTCGACCGCATCAATTCCATACACCCAGCCATCAGATTTACCATGGAAGTCAAAAAAGATGGCAAGCTACCATTTTAGATGTACTAATTAAAAGGAGACCTAATGGTTCAATGAGCCACTCTGTCTACAGGAAAGCTACCCATACGGATGCTTACTTAAAACCGGATTCCCACCACCATCCATCCTAGAAGAATTCCCTCATCAAGACTCTGCACCATAGAGCCCAATGCATATCCGACCAGGAACACATAGCCAGTGAACTCAAGCATGTACACCAAGCTCTTAAGGCTAATGGTTACTCTGACTACACAATCCGCAAAGCTATCACTCCAACCATGAAGAAGGACCCTCTTGAGGAGCCTTTCAAAACCATTGCGGGGATCACAAAAAAGATCTCCAAAATCTTGAATAAACACAAAATCCAGGTCGAATTCAACACATTACATAAAATCCGTGATCTCGTTCCATCTGTAAAAGATGTGATTCCGGACATACAGTACCCTGGGGTCTACAAACTAAGTTGCCTCTGTGGTAGTAGTTACATTGGAGAAACCAAACGACATGTCTCGGACCGCATTAGTGAACACAAAGCAGACCGAAAACACAGTAGGACCAACACCTCGGCCGTGGCAGATCACTGGTATAATTCAGTAGGCTCACATGATATTGACTTCTCCAAGACAGAGGTTATTTGCAAGCCATCTGGCTACCATGAGAGATTCGTTCATAAGGCTATCCACATATACAAACACAGAAACAATTTCAACCGAGAAGGTGGATTCTGGCTTAGCAATCATTGGAAGGATTTGATAAACCATTTCTGGTCTTAATTGATTGATCACACTTACGGTGGCTTTCAGACCACATTCATTATTTTCGTCTCCCCCTCCTCTCTTCCGAACATAGATGGACTCTAACATTTAAAAAAGCACGCCACTTTTTTCAAATTTTCTTGCTGTGGTTTTCACACCTGATAATTGCTTGTGTTGCAGTCGAAACGTCGTGAGAATTTTATTGTTTTATATTTTTATTATTTTATTGTTTCCCTTCTACGCAAATTTACCGAAAGAACCAAGAATATAATTCAAAACATTGCAGCCAGAATGCTTTAATAATTAATAATTGAGACATCAGGTTCATCATTCCGACATTAGGTTATCTTATTTACTTACAGCCATCATTGAGTGGTTGTGGTAAAGTCAAATTGTATGTAAGAGGCAGGATATAAGTATCAGACATTTGGATTATGGATCTCTCTGCTCAACATACCTTGGTGTTTATACGCCCCTCATGCCTGCTGCTCTTTGAAAGCTGACCTGGGCAGGTCCTGCAGCCTCCTGTTACCACACTGGAACTTGCACCATCACCAGCACTCTCTCCATCACCACCACCAACACCGCCATCACCACCAGCAGCTTGTTCTTCCAGTCTCAACGATGACCCTTCTGTTACTGCCACGGAGCTGACGGGATCTTGGCTGGAGCCACTGAGGCGGTCGGAATTCCTGATGTCGGGGCAGCTCTGTGTCTCAGCATTGGGGCCCAGACAGGGCATGGAGGAGTGCTGAGGGTCCGTGGTGGTGGCGTCGCCGTCTGTCGCCGGCCGTTGCAGCAGAGCTGCCTTTGCGTCGAGGTGCCCGCTGCCCTGCAGGCTGTGGGCAGCCACCAGCTGCTGCCGCAGCTTCCCAACGTGTGAGCGCGGCGACCGGGCCTTGCCCTGCGGCGACACCGAGTCGAGGCTGCGCGACATGCCCTCTGACCCCAACACGTCCGTCCTGCAGCAGAGAAGAGAGGGTTAAAGTTCACAGTTACTTTTGTGGTGACATATGACGTCGCTACTGTGTCGGGACTGTACGAGCGTAGGGACATATGACGTCACTACCGTGTCGGCTCGGTATCGGGGCTGTAGGCGAGTGTCACTGGGGGTTGTGTCAGTCCGTGGCACTCCGCGTGAACCCAATAGGACACGTGACCGGATAAAGGGGGGCCAGGGGCCGCAGGGGGAAGCTTGGGGGTCACGTGGTTGGGGGCCCGGACCTTCCCGAAGGATCGAGAAGGGGGGCGTGGCCTGGGGCGGAGCCGGCCACGCCGAAGCGGTTATAAGCAGGGTGTGAACAGGGAGCGGGGATGTTCTACTCTGAGATGAAGACGCCGTGAGAAGTCCTCAAGTCTCCGATCGTCGTTCGTGACCAAGCAGGCGTCCCCCTGCCTTGGTCATGCTGTGTAATGCTCCCGAGTGTTAGTGAAGAGTAGGAATGGTGGTCACCACCCTACGTGTAGTGTCCGTGTTAATGTTACGTGTTAATAAATAGTGTTGCCTCCAAGTTAAGTATGTGCCTCAATCGAACCCATTACACTTTCATATCCACGTGCCTGTGTATCGGAGTGCCTCGAAATGAAAGCTTGGCGCATCACGTAGATTTGTGATTTTTTTAAAGCCTGAAAATTTGCATGGTGGCATGAGAAGGCAGTACAGCAAATGGGTTCATGAAAACGGTTGTGTGTGGGCCTTAGAATGTCACCCACCACATGTGTGGGGGGTTTTGTTTGGGCCCCTCCAGTTACCTCTCACATGTAAAGCCCTCATTGATAAGGAACCAACAAGACATCCCAAAGCAGAACCATGTTGAAAAAGAGAATTGCAACTCATTAAGCCATCCCTGGATTTAATAAAGAATAAATCACTTCATACGGTAATGCTTGTTACCACAAGCACATGAATTCTGTTCTCCTATAATGCATGTTTTCAGAGCATGAATTGGATATAATGCGATTAATGTATTAGGGAACATATTTTTTATACAACGCATGCGAATTGGATATAACACGATTGAGTGAACAAAACCACGTTACACGAGTAGGAATAAGCGGTTGTACGGCTGCCTCGGCGTAGCATCACACAAGGCAGGATGCTGCTGGATGCTTCTAGATGCTACCCAAGCACCCTTGTCTTTGTTCAGCCTACATACACATCTGAAGTGTTTTCGCGGACTGTGCTTTACCCAAAATTCAAAATTATTTATTATATAACGCGATCTTTCAATAACGCAGCATTCTGCAGAAACGCAACAACCGTGCTACAGGACAACAGACTATACATCTAGAATTAACATATAATGTAACCTCATATAGTCACACGAACAAGGGGGGTGGGGGGTCCCTTTTCAATCGTTAAGATGATGGGTTTGTTCATTTGTTTATGGCTCATTGTTATACATCACGTAATAATTATAGTGTAACGATTTACCCCAGCCCCTTGTTAATTTGATTATTTGCTGTAAGTCAGGGTCACGGTTTGGACTTGAAGTTAAGCAAATGCATATGACAAATGTGCTTTGATAAAATATATATCGTTGATTGCACACATCATTACCTATAATAATAATTTGTATTATTCATAACATTAATGATTGTATTTGGAAAGCATCTACAATACAGCTGCATCTAAGGATGCCCCATCAAAATGGGGGACAACATTGGGGAAGAAGGTGAAGCATAGGGAGGTGACAAAGGGTGACAGATTAAAAGGCAGGGACACATGGGAGACAGGAGACGGGGGAACAGACAATGGCATGACCCGAGGGGATGGTGTCAATGGATTTAGCATTCCCATCCTGTCCCAATCAGTAGCCCCCCCCGCCCGCCGCCTACAGGGAGTGAATTATGTGGGTCCCAACTCAACGAAGCCCAGTCTGAACTGCTCGTGATAAATACATTCTGAATCTGCCACAGTACCTTCGGAAGTGCAGCCGCCCCTTCTTCCGCGTGCTGGAGTGAGCCACAGGATGGTCCTTGTGCTGTTTGCTGATCCTGGAGTAGACTTTTGCCATGGCCTGCTCTTTCCTGTGTGAACAACAGTACCAAACTGCTCAACGAGGTGCTCTATAATATATTACAGTATTTGAAAGAGAATCTGTACTGCCCTTTAATAAAGCACCGTTAAAGAAATGCCTCCCCACACCGTGTCAGTCATTGCGGTTGTTTGACCATACTTCACCGTGCTGGTCAGTGCGGGTTGAAAGGGGGCGCCAAGGAGTCATTCAAGTCCCTGTCGCTAATGATTACTGTTAGCCGTGGCCTGGGGTTGAACTCAGGTAAGAAGATTCATAGTGAACTGCACTGACAACTCACTGCGCAAACCATTCCACTCAGTAGGTAATATGATATTCTATATGCGTGATGTGATTCTAATATCCACCCACGTAAATTGTAATTCATAGGGCCAAGCCAGTTGGTCGGTCCTATTTGTCTCCATTTCTTAAATGGGCACTGGACATTGTTCATCTGCTGGTGGAGTAATTACACATTCAAAGGTAGCCAAGTGTGGCGCTGACCAACCTATCCTGTCTTGTGCCACGCTGGTCTAAATAGGTGCTTGCTAACAGCACTGGTTCCAGGGTATCTTTGTGAGTGTTTGTGTGGGTATGCGGGCATTTTATGTGTTGGTGTGTATGCGTGCACGTGTGTCCAATTTGTGACCGCTGTTGATTGGGTATATCTGGCTCCACCCCTGGCAGATGGCATAAAAAGGTTCTGTAACTTACAGCTCAATAAAAAAAACACTAATATGTAAACATGACTTCTATATGTGTGGTGTATAGACAGACTAAATCTACATTGTAGTAACAGTATACAAGCAATGCTACCAACTAACATTCATAGGCTTATAATGCACAAGAATGAAGAAAATAAATGTATAATAATGCAATTATGTTTTAATGACATACAAATTACTGTAGAATAATATAATATTCATATATATATATTTTTAAAGAAATCCATTAAGGTTTAAAGCACCATTCGTAATTTGCAATGGCTACGCGACGATCGCTTCTGCGAGAGGGCCTTGGGTAAACGACAGAGAGACAACCTTGACGTTACAGGCAAGGGCCACCTTGGACAGCCATGCAGCTTAATATGTGTAGATGTTTTTCGTTCAAGAACGCAACAGTCGCAAGCAATGCCCGTAATTTACTCTAAATACATCATGGCGGTTTAACCGATGGACGACATTCGTCAATACACTGTCGTCGCACATGCAATAGTCCTTTGCCAGTCTTGCGCCACCGGGCAGACTCACGGCCTGTTCTAGTGGTTGCCTGTGGGGTTAATCCTTTGCATTATAAGCGGACCCACGGGTCAGTGCCGGGTTCTGCCGTCTAGAGGGAGGGCAGATGGGTCACTGCTGGGGGCCCCTCCCCTCGAAAGTGCTGCTCTACTAAAAGTGTCCCGGATCGATTGCGGGGCCAGGTCGCTGCAAGGGGGTTATCGATGCTGGGGCTTGGGTTTCCATCGCCGGCTAATGCTCTGACCCCGACACCTCCATGAGGTTATGTCAGTCCAATTGTTAATAGTGAACTGAAGTGATGATCACCATTACATTATTGATATACTGTAATAACAAATGATAATGGTTGCATCAGTGTTGTGTATGTATGTGCGTGTTTTTTTTTTCTTCCTTAAAATACCTTTCAGTGGCCTTGCTTTTTTTGTTATAGAAGTTGTTGCTGATGGGTTGGTCACATATGCAGGATGGAAGAGGGCAGGTTACAAAGACAATCGTTGGAATGGCACCCAAGGGTCAGTGACTAAAGATATTACGTAAAGGCACGTGGTGGTGTAGCAGTTAATAAACACACAGCAGTAATAACCAGGGTGGCCTGCCAGGTTCGAACCGTGAACTTTTGCAACAAGCGGTGAACGCTCTACCATTGGGGCATGTCAACGGCCCATAAAATAACAGCTGCACGTTGCCTGGTCTCTCACCTGTTGAGCTCCTTCTCCCTTGTCTCCAGCTGCAGCATCAGGGTGCTGAGCTCCGCATACAGCCCATTGGCACGCTCCAGCTTCTGCTCATAGTGCTCCCGTATGTCCAGCGCGTGCCTGGGGGAAATATTCACATGGCCGGTACTGAAGGTGTGCACGTGGCAAGCATTCGTACATGCATGCATAGTCAGACCTTCATTGTGGATACTTGCAGATTGAGGTGCACGGGGCTGTAAAATTAAATTGCTGCTGCCCAGGTGTTGCACATGTTATTACTGATAATTACATATATTGTGTGTTCATTCAAATAAAGCTCTTACAACAGAGTAAGTTGTTTACAAAGTCTAAACTTTTGTAGACTGCCTAACAAAAAGTTTAGGCTACCTGAGTCATGCAAAACGAAGCGCAAGTCCATGGGCAATCTCTGGGACTTTTCTTCCTTGGTACCTAGATTCTGGAACTCTCTGCCGAAGGCTATCGGGGAGTCCGGTTCGATTGGGATTTTCAAGTCCTTCTGCCTTAAAACATTTCTCTTGCAGAAGGCGTTTTCTATTTTAACTCAGCCACTTCTTACCCAACTCCACCGTCATTGTCTAGCATAGCCAGGGCACATAGAGAGTTCCACGAAACCACAGGGCTAGCACAGTGAAGCCATAGGGAATATCAGAGGGATAGCAAGGCTGAGACCAGCGAGAAACCAGGATGGCACAGAAAAACCACAGGGCTGATGAGGTACCTGAGTTCCTGGCGGCGCCGTGATATGAGCTCCTCGTCCAGCCGATGTATGCTGGCGCCCTCCGTGCGAATCTTCTCAAACTGACTGCGCACCTCCTCGCGCCACTCAGCCTGCCAACCACACACGTAGGTGCAAATGTGAGGCTCATCACCGGAACAAAAAAAATGAGGTTACAAAAAAATCCAATCAAAGCCGTTTCGTCTTGTCGTATGAGTCATTGCCACTGTAGCTCATGACGCATCAGTAAAAAATAGCTTTCCTTCCAATGAATCATACATTGTTGTGTCCTAGATGAGACATTGCCAACCTTTTGGAATGAGTGTTGAACATTTGACACAAATAGCAGGTCATGCGTTTGCCACATTTGAAAAAATGTATCTGATTGAGCTTTACCGAAATAACAAAGTGAAATCTGTAACATCTAAATTGCTCTGCCCTCTGCAACAATATGACATCGATTTGACGACTATGCCAAATACGTATTTTTTTTAAAAGCCTACGTACGTACTTTGTGTCACACACACAGCTGTCCCTCAATGACCGTGAGGCACAGCAAGGCACCTGTGAGTGGAAGAAGGTCTCCAGGGGTGTCGACAGAACATCGGCCGCGGCAATCTCCAGGTGGAGCAGGATTTGACGGAAAGACGGCCGGTTCCTGGGCTTGCTGTTCCTGCAAGTCCGGGTGCATGGCCATTGTCAGCTGGCTAGAAACGGTTCGTAACTCAATTGGGACAAAGTGGACACATCGTGACCCATGTAGTCCAGCCGCTCATGTGTATCCAAGCTTTGTTCACGCAAGTTGAGTAGTTTATCCATAAACTGTGAATGCATAGAAGCAAGTAATGCAATTGGTATGTTTTCAGTACAGGAATACAGAAATATGTCTGACTTCTCTGTGGTTCGCCCAGCTAGAGCTGAATATAATTCCCGGGTTTAATTATAACTGTTGTTGAGGGGATTCTTGCCAGATTTTTGGGGCCCTTAAAAGGCTATTGCTGAGATCCTGCAAGTTAAATAATGAACCCAGTCATGCTTTCTTAAATATTGAGGTCAAAATCAACCTACAAAACATCAGCCCATCTAGAAACACTTGTCAAGCCAGACCCAGCAGTACATAAAATATGATTTTACAACGTGACTCAATCACTACTATCTCACTGCCACACTCTATACACGACCTGCTGCCAATAAGCATCCATACCAGCATTGGGTGAGCAAAATCTTGAATCCCTCAGGACAGGAGGCAGGAATGGGCAGGTGAAGACTGTTGCTGCCCACACCCCAGATGATGGCTGACGAGTCAACGTCGCGATATGGGATCTCTCCGGTGAGCAGCTCCCACAGCACCACGCCAAATGACCTGTGACCATCGCCACCACCACAGCCACCACAAACCACTGTCACCACCAATGGCGTCACTGCAGTAAACACTGGTATCATCAGACAGTTGCCATAAATCTGTCAATTTCCTGATGATGCTGGTTGTATGTATGCATGCATCTATGGGGAACTTTTTTCGCACCGTACGTAGCCAACCGTGCTAATTGGAGGTGCGGGGAAAGCGAAATTTCGTACCTTATTGTTAAATGTTGTAGATTCAACTCCAACACACCAGTGTGCTGATATAGTAACAAATTGGCATGTATGTTCTCATGATCATTTTATTCATTGGCAGTTATATGGAGGAGAGCTTATAACACAAAAAACAATTATGAATCGTAATATTGATCACAAAATTCTAAACAAGTTAAACACTGGTTTAATTTTTGGTTTGAAGGTCTAAAATGAAAAATGATGGTCACCAACAACTATAAGTATAGGAGATAAGAACGTACACATGTTTTTTTTTTTTTAAATGAACAAAGCTACAGGAACTGTGGAAAAGACGTGATGGAGAAGGAGTTCCAAAGTCAAATAGCACAAAAGATAGCGGGCACGCTCGTCGCTCACCAGATGTCCACCTTCTCAGAGACTGGCTCATTGCGGATAACCTCGGGTGCCATCCACGCCACGGTGCCGGCGAACGACATGCGTGTGCTCTTCTCGCGCATCTCCTTGGACGTTCCAAAGTCGGAGATCTTGACCTCGTCGTCGTGCGTAATGAGCACACTGTGGGCGGGGTACAGGCACGCCACTGTGCTGTCAGCTAAACGTCCGACAGTTTTCTGACTTGCCGTTAAATGTACAGGTGTGTGAGCGTCTTATCTAAGTGCGGAGTGGTGGTGCAATCGGTAGCGTGCTGCGCTACACATCCAGCGGCCCGAGTTTGATTCCCGCTCATGGCCACCAAACACTAATGATGATTATCTGAACCTTTCCTGGGCCTCCCCTAGGTCGACTCGGTCTCAAATTTCTACCTGGTGTGATGGCTGGGCATGATGTGCCCAAGGCACCCCTCGGAAACTTGTTTGCCTTAATAGGTGCTCGCGAACAGCACTTGCCCCCAACAGTCTGTGCGGCTACAAGGGAGGTATTTGTCTGTTGTGGCTTCCGCAAGTTAATTGCAGCAGTGGGTACTCATTTCAAATTAAGCTGAGCTGGGGATGCAATGCTCTGCTTTCAACAAACTTAACCTAAGGGAGACCCTCAGTGGGTGCTCATTTCAGGCTTAGTTACCTTTGTTGAGGATGGTTAAATAATGTTGCAGAACATGCTAATTAATGATGATGAATATACATTCATGGAAGGCAGTTAGATGTCAACCTAAAAAAAGTTACATCCTCACGTTGATGTGTTAATTAGAGCCAATTAATTGCCGATTACACCTACACATTAAAATTTCGCTCTAAGCTTCATTGACATTTACGTCTTAAATAAGACACTGAAATTCATTCACGCTTTTGTGACAATGGGCATTTAATTTTAGTATGCAAATTAGGTTAATTATAATGCCAATTAAAAGTAAAATTGGGTATATTTCTCTCAACTAAAATCCTTTGACCTTTATCCAGGCAAACAAAGGGGTCCTACAAAAATGCAGTGATTAAAATCGAGACATGTTTTAATCATATACAATTATATTTAAACCTTTTTTGGCGTTCACGGCGCAGTGGTCGCATTTGAGAATTTAATAACAGCGCCATGATAAGAATAAAATGCAACCTGAAATCCAAAATTCTCATGACTAAGTGCGATACAGTCTGTACACTGATAATTATTCGTATACCAGGTAAGGGAACGCCAAAAATAATATACATGCACTGACGATATACATCACTGTTGTGGGTTTATTCGAATTTTTGTTACAATCATTCAACAAAAATGTCATTTATTTTTACTTTTTTCACTTGTGTATTCATAATGCATTTTGGTTTGTAACCTCGTTTTATCTGTTGTTTATCATTTAATGTCGTATTAGTTTATATTTGCAAAGGAACAGGGCTCTACATATTGGTAAACATTTATTGAAATGTAATTGCTTTACAAATCACAAAAAGCCTTCTTCTTAATTTTCTAACAACAAAACCCAGTGGTGGCTGGTCTATACGTGGCATTAATATGGCTCTTCACCTGAAAATGTACTTTAACAAATAAAATATGTAACTTATTTTAAATTAATATGTTAAAAAGCTATTAAATGTTTAAAAAAGTGGCTGATTGAAATCATTTACACTTCCGAACAGATTTTGGATAGAATTGATTGAAAGAAATTCCATACTTTGAAATAAATTCATGGCGGGCGTAATTGTTTGCAAAGGTTTTGCCAAATTCCCATTGGCCAATTCTAAGTTGTGGCCTCGGGGGCGATCTCAGAGACGCTCCAACCAATTACCATCCATCATTCCAGTACAACATTAAAGACATTCAGGTGAAGTTGGGTCAAAAATTAACTTGCGTCTGTGGTGCAAGAGAGAAGGCAGAGCATAGTTCATTCAAATGCCATCAAAGTATATCCAGAAAACGTTGCAAAAAGTTTGTTACAAGGAATCCCGGTTTCAGAGGGAGGACAGATCAGATGTAATTGCCATGTTTAAAAATGCAGCCATTGTTTTTCCATTTTCACGACTCGCGGCCTCCACACGTGTCATTTCGGTTAAATCACATTAAATATTTGATCTGAAATGTTCCATGAAATGCAATTTTGAACAGAGGTCATATTGTGATTGCTTTTAAAGTTTAAATGAAAAACATTGGTATTTGTGAATGTCATTTCATAGCCTATGGGGATACAGTCAGGGTCACTGATGAACGGTTTTAACATGAGTTAGAGTCCCATATGAACCAGAATGCAGGTAAAAAATAAAACAAGCTGGGAATCAGATTTTTGAAACAAATTGTTCGTAATATTTAATCCCTCCTTATAAATTCTAAAAAAAAAAAACCTTCCGTATTCATGTAATCTTGTGCTTTTAGAATATTCACATTAAATCTTCACTTAAAGCTTTCGTGACTGCAGGAATTCTTACTCTTTGGGTCTCTCGGTAAAGTCCGACCATCACCACCTAGCCAGTGAGCTGGAGCACGTTCACCTGAAGACGATTGCTTGTGCTGCGATCGAAACGTCGTGATTTTTTTGTTCTATCTACATGACTTTACCGAAAGACTAAAAGAGTATAATATTCACATTGCATAACTAAATACCAACATCATTAAAAAAAGATGTACACGTTGAATTCATCATCCCTCCTTTGTGCCTGCCTGTCCACTGTGCTAATTGGTGCCTCGTTATTAAACAAGAAACTAATTTTCTTCTTTTTGGCCAAATGTTCTTTTTGCTTCGGCCAAATACTTAGACGCAGCATGGATTGCCAGCTGCCATGCAGATCCTCTCAAGCCAAACTAAAAGTCAAGCCAATGTGGGCCCTCTCCAATGTAATTAAGTAAGTCAGAGTGCTGTCGCGCCAAGGCAATTAAGAGTTCTCCTTGAGAATAAATGTTTGCATGGTGCCATATTCTGTCCTTAACCTCCTATAAGTTGGCAAAGGTTCAGCATAATGGGGGCATAGGCTGTATGTGTGGAACTAATATCACTATTTTATTATCCTAGTAGCCTAAGTTCGATTCCGAGGCATTCCTAAACTTGTATTTGGCCTTCCGAAGATCAACTCAGCATTGAAATTAGCAGCGAATGTGACACGTGAATAAAGGCAGTTGGGTGTGGTCTCACCACCGCATGCGTACCCTGTTGACCTTAATTGGTGCCTCGTTATAATAGGTGTTTGATTGGTGCTCACTTACAGCACGTGGGTCTCTGTCAGCAAGCATTGGCCACTTCACATGACCTCAAAGCGCACCCAGCTTGGCACGCAGTGGTGAATGGTAGCTATTTTGTGTGTGTATGTTGCATGTGCATTTCTGTGTTCGTGTATGTGTGTGTACTGGTGTGTTTTGGGGGAGTGGTGGAATAGTGGTCAGTGCACTGCACTATGAACCTGGGTTAGAGTCCCGGCCATGGCTAACATCAGTGGCAAGTGATATCTGCATTGGTCCTGGGCCTTCCCTTCGGTTCATACATGAGTACCAAGTGCTGTAAACATCAGCACTGGAGGTGACAGGGCATAGTGTTACCCCAACCACCCCCCTCGTGAGCCACGCTGGCTTTCATAGGTGCTCACAAACAGCACTTTCCCCAGTGGGTTTTTACGAGTATTAGGGGGTTTTTGTCTTAAGTGTGTGTTTTTGTGTGCACTCTTGCACGGGCTGCCCTTCTTTCTCACTTGGGCGACTTTAGGTCGCGGTGTATGATCTTGTGCAGGTGTAGGTAGCTCATCCCACGAGCAATGCCCCGCGTCCAGCCGACCAGCAGCTCGGGGCTGATGCGACGGCCGGCACGCAGGACCTCGTACAGCTGACCTTGCGCGCAGTACTCCATGATGATGCAGTAGCAGGGAGCGTGCGTGCACACACCCCTGCGCACACACAGCCACGCAGCCACCAACCACCTGCGATTAGCACGGTTGGCTACGTACGAAATAAGTTCAGACGTACAAGAATAGGTTTTCCCCTTTGTTCTGGCAACAAAACAGGTTGAAAATAACCGCCTCTTTTTTCAAAATTTTCTTGCTGTGGTTTTCACACCTGATGATGATTGCTTGTGTTGCAGTCGAAACGTCGTGATAATTTTATTATTTTATTGTTTCCCTTATATGTGACTTTACCGAAAGAACCAAGAATAACAAAACAGGTGTTAAGATGTTAAAACACCAAACTGAAACCTTTTACAAGGAATCATGTCTGCATGAACCACAAGTATTAACCACAAGTATTGTGAAGGATGTCATTCAAGTACTGTGAGTACTGTGAAGGATGTCATTCCTGACATGCAATATCCTGGAGTCTACAAACTAAGTTGCACCTGTGGTGGCTGTTACATTGGGAAAACGAAACGACATATCTCTGACCGTGTTCGTGAACATAAGGCAGATCTGAAACACGGCAGGACTAATACCTCTGCCGTAGCTGACCATTGCTATAACGCTGTGGGCTCGCATGATATTGTTTTTTTCCGAGACCAAGGTGCTCTGCAAACCTTCGGGCTACTATCAAAGGTTTGTTCATGAAGCCATCCAGATATATAAACATAGACATAACTTCAACCGAGAAGATGGATACAAATTGAGCAATCATTGGAAGGATGTTATTGACCAGGTAAAACCCAAACTGCTTTGTAGTGATTGTCGTCTATCATATCTGCCGGGTACTACTACACCACGTGGCGCTCGCCCTCCCCCTACCCCACACCCCCACCCCTCCCTCTCCCCCCTTGCTTCTCCCCCTTTATTACCTATATAACCTCTTACCCACGTCAGCAAACAAATAATATTGCTGTGATTTTCCCACCTGATGATGATTGCTTGTGTTGCAATCGAAACATCGTGATTTAATTTAGTTTATACCTACGTGAATTTACCGAAAGAACCAGAGAGTATGGATCCCTGCAGTCACGAAAACTTCAAATCTAGGCAGACATGATTCCTTGTAAAAGGTTTCAGTTTGGTGTTTTAACATCTTAACACCTGTTTTGTTGCCAGAAAAAAAGGGAAAACCTATTCTCATAGTTTGGTACTGGCAACGGAGGTCCCATGAAGTTCAAACTTACATTCATACCACCAAGCCCGAGTCAGATACTCAACTCTTAGATTTCCTTTGAGGACCACTTTGCGACATTCATTACCCTTAATTTATAATAACAATAAAAACCTTCACCCAAGAGGGCCTCACTGAATCTTTCAGGAAGAGTCCTGTGTTGGTATGTATGGCGAATTCCACCAATTGAGGCTTGATTTCATTTCGGGATTGACAAATGGCTGTAAGTTAGTAGGATAGTTTTTTTAATAGACAGTTTGGCAAAATAATAATATTGTCAATAATTTACCCAGTAAGCCCTCACTGAGTTTCAGCACTCTTTTTCAAGAGGGTCGTTCTAACATTGGGATGTTTGGACATTTCCATGAGTAAAGTGTTTGGTATGTGGGAGGAAACCGAAATACCCAGAGAAAACGTATGCGTGTTAGGGAACAACACTTAAAGGTCGACATGGAAAAGATTCAATTGCACAGATGGAACAATTTCACGGAATATTTTTGCGGATTGAATATATGTGTATTGAATACCTCTGTGGATGTAATATCTCTGTGGATGTAATATGTCTGTGGGTTGATTCCATTGCTGCACTGCTGCCTTCTGGCTACCTCACAACACTCGAACAACACTTTTGATATGTCCTGGTGGTCTGTATCCAAGTCCTCACCAGGCCCAAGCCTGCTTAGTTGTCTAAGTCTTCTGGACAAAATGAATATTTAAACACGTATGAATTAGGGACTGATTTTAAAGGTCATATTTGGTGAGTGACTCACAGTGTATGCTATCCGTGGTGCAATAATAATAATAATACACACACTGTTAATAGGAAACTGTCAACTTTGTCAAGAACATTCATTTTCTTGACAAAATGTTTGGCGTCAGATTAAGCTTCTAAGTGAGGTGGTTCGTTGTAGCTGGAAATGTATGTCCACAGCCATGCCCCATGCCAGCTGTGGTTATGTCAGCATGAAGACAGGCACATCCATGCCTTTCAACCTACAAGTTCAGCCCATAGAGCTCCAACAGATGACTGTCTAAGTCTATCTCTAACTACTTGACAGCACTAAACGCGGATGATTCTAGCTACTCACTCCTACATGTACTTCCAGACACAATTAAACGCACACTCCCACAGATTACTTTTTGAAAAATGTCGAATCAGCAAAGTCCTGTAAGGTCTAATGATCGTATCTGGATTCGAATTACCCTCATCCATTTCGCCTTGATGACAACATTAAAGTTTGATTTAGAGCTTTCGTGACTGCAGGGATTCATATTCTTGGTTCTTTCGGTAAAGTCACGTAGAAGGGAAACAATAAAATAATCAAAATATAAAAAACATTAAAATTCTCACGACGTTTCGACTGCAACACAAGCAATCATCATCAGGTGTGAAAATCGCCACTTTTTCAAAAATTTCTTGCTGTGGTTTTCACACCTGATGATGATTGCTTGTGTTGCAGTCGAAACGACGTGAGAATTTTAATGTTTTTTTATATTTTTATTATTTAATTGTTTCCCTTCTACGTGACTTTACCGAAAGAACCAAGAATATGACAACATTAGTTGTGTTCAAGGTAACATAAAAATACGTAACAGGTGTGTCACAAGAAGGCATCCTGAACACATTTCCATACGCAAGACTGGAATCGTTTTTTCCATAGAATATAACCTAGAGATGCAATCGTGTGCATGCACACAGACCCTTGGAGTAAGTGAGATTAGCGAGCACCTATTATCAGCAGCACAATGCACTCGGGATTCTGTGGCCAACACCACGACCAGCTGCCGTTTTCTTATAAGAATTTACACACTGCAGCAGGTACTGTATTTTAGAATGAGTTGACCAAGGGTAGGACCAGAACAGCTTCATATAACCCAAGCTAAGTATAAAAACATTTAACCCAGGTCGCCGTAACCATATAGCAGTCCAAACCAAAATACCACCACCACTCTACACATATTAGCACACCCATGCCATGTAACGTGCACGCGTATACCACAACAAGATGTGGGCACACACACTCAGCTAATAATGGCAGTGAGAAATCTTCCTGTGCTTTGGCCTCACTGCATTTAGGCTGCATTGTAAGGTGGCTGTGAGTAAGCACATCTCAAGGGAATCGCGTGCACGTACGCCACTACGAATTTGCACACGCACATACGAGCTCGCATCAGTGCCCGCATAATTTATAAAACCCTGCACAGCACCACTAACATGCAGATAAAGTGCCCCAAAAATGCCATGGACTGTGTAAAAAATGTTGGCCTTTTTGTTTACTTCATGTGATCGTACATCTTTGTAATCGTAATAATGTGACAATCACTGTATATCGTGGTATAATATTACCAATGGACCGAGTGATTAATCTGGTATGGATACAAATTGGATTTATTTTTGGAAATCCTTAAAAGCCTGGTATTCTTTACCAGATCTATAGCCGATTGGTGTTTTTGATTGACCTCAGATTTCTAGCCACTCATGTGCTCTGAGCTTAATTGTGCCTAATAGACTGTTAATGCGATTATGTCAGCTTGACTGCTAAAGCGCAGCGTATGCAGCAATGTATGTACAGATGCATAATTTTGTTTACGTGTAGATCAGTGGACAGCCAAATCGTGCATTAGGGATCTAAGGCAAGAAACGGTTAGGCCCTATTGTTAGGCCCTAGCTTTTAGTCCCGTGTAGGCTAATAATAATAAAACAGATTGTGATCATGTATTAGTGTGAATAAGTGACTTTGTACATTGCATAAGACAATTTTCATTATCAGTCACAACCTATCCACTACTAGAAAGCTCCTGGCCTAAAATATATGTGGATTTAATAAAAAAAAGTCATAAAAACATGTTTAACAAAATTATAGGCCTTGCTTAATGAATGTTTACACAAAGTATATATCTCAATTGTGGATGAATGCCACAATATTTTTTTTCTATTAAAAAAGGGAGAAATAACTGATTTGAAGAATTACAGACCATTTAGTCTCCTATCACGTTAATATAAATGATTCACGAAGACCATAGGAAAGTGAATCATGATACATCCGAAATTGTGCTTAACAATAAATAACACGCTCTTAAATATAATCACCTTAACTAAAATATAACTGACATATTTTAAAGATGTCATAACAAAGCTTATTTATTTCTGCATATATTATTGAGATATGGGACATCGTTAAAATCAAATAAAGTAAACTCATTATTTATATCAGCCAAAGATGTACCCTGGCGCAAGCTTGTATCCTTGTGATTTATGATCAAGTGAAAGATGGGTGAGATCAAACGACTATTTTCGCGTGGCCCTGGAAACTTGACGGTCTTTTTGGTGTGGTCCCTCTTGGCAGCAGCTACTGACGCGCGCGTCTCCGCGATTAGAGACAGGGCGAGTTCCGAGCGGGACTGTTGGCCAGAAACGCAGACGAGAGAGAGAGAGACGCATCCAGCAACTGCGCGCACTCCAAGCAGATTAAAGTGTGTGGGGGAAGGGGGGGGCCTGTGGGACTGCTAATGGACATGAAGGTTGGGTGATCAATTATTTCCTTTTCCAAGCGACCTCGCCCATCATCCGACGTGCAATGTGCTACCGTGCAGCCGCGAAGAATACATTAACGCACAGCAGAGTTTTGACGCGAGCGTTGCGCGTCTGCCCAATCTAATAGAATCATGTTGCTGCTGCTGTCGAACGCTAATTACAATGGAAATCTCACGTGCTTTTTTTTTGCTCCAGTCGCTACTGTTGTATTAGCTGTTTGTACAGCGTAAGCCTGCTTCATCTTCGGGGCAACAAACCGTACCGCTGGATTTAAGCGAGCGAACGTTAGCCTAATGGGTGTTGGCGGGTTTTCAAATATTTTAATGTTTTATTTGGCGGCAATTTTTGTTTAATTGAAACGCATATTTGCGTAAATGCACAAAAAAAACCCCTTTTTAAATTACGGAGGATTGAAGATAAATCACCTTAAATAATTTAACATAATGGACCTACCCTTTAATGAATACAATCTCAAACACTCGGCTCGTGGCGCCGATTTAAATTCTCCCTTTTTATTTTGTCCTCATTTTCTCGCATTGCTCTGAGACTGCAGGTTTTTTTGTTGCAGTAAGTAAATTATGTCGATAAACTGCTCGCAAAAAACGCAGCAAAAGCACCGACCGCTCCACAGACAGTGTGCGAGTCTCTGCACCCGGTCTACAACAGACAATCTGCCTGCAGGTAAACAGCTGAAATTGTGCCCGTAAAAATAAAATGCAACAAAAAACACAATTTATGATTCACCCTTAGACCTGGGTTCCCCTTATCACAGTCTGTCAGTAACTACGCGGTTCCGGAGGCAATGCCTCTACGTTTTGGGCCCCCACTATGAGGCGGAATGGTTTAGTCTCATGATAACCCATGTTTGCCAATATAACCAATGAGGAATTGCCTCAGTCACTCAGTCACACTGCTACTCTAAACGGGTTTAAAAAAAAAGTGACACTTGAATATGAATGAGTCTTGGCCTGCTTCTGCTTTTCTCAACGTATCAAACTGTGCATTAATAACGGTCATTAATACTGATATCCCACTAGCCCCATTTCACCGTTTTTTTTTTACTAAGTCATGCAATCAAACATAATTGTGATTGCTGGTAATGAGATATCAATGTAACGTTTCCTAAACTTTTTGAAACTGACCAGAGTCCTCAATGTTACATTGTGCTCGTATATTTCCTTTCATATTAATGTCAGAAAACCTCACGAAGCCCCATTTGCTTATTTATAACGAAGCTGGCATAAGTACGCAATTTTAATTTGCTGCTGTGTGTAGCAGCTGGTGCCATTGTCCTATAAAGTGTTTTAGGTTACTGATCATGCGGTCAGGGTCGATTGTTTGTTGGCTCCAAGTGTCCATTCTGCACGTGCGTGTACAGTCCTTTGCTCAATCCACTGCTGGATGAGGCTTTCTTCACAGCTGCGAGGGGCATGAGGAATATTTGACCATACTGCACCATACTGGTCAATGTGCATTCGTAAAGGTTATATTGTGGGTGCATCGTGGCACAGCACAGCAAATATTTTTGCAGTACTGGCCACTGCTTCACATCACGTAGCCCTGCAAGCCCTATGACCATCTGTCTGCGCATGGTGATCATCCATCCAATCACTCTGCTTAGCTCGTGAGATCTGAGGAGATCGGGCACACGATGGGTGATGTGGCCACAGACACATACAGTGCTGAATATGAGAACATGATTACAGATTGCATAAAAACTGAGAACATTATCTGGTGGTCCAAAGTGATGAGTCCTTGATGTGTGGTGGGATAAGAGAAGCGTGAGCAGTGGTTATAAAAGTCAGTCTGCGGTGCTGGTGCACGTGGCTTGGTTTGGTCAATCCATACCATCAACTTTCGGCATATCCCATAGCCACAGCTACAAAATGGCGTCACGGTGGTGAGATGTTATATACCTCGCCTGGTATGCAGGAGGTCATAGGTTCAATCCCGACCCTGACACCTGTATATTTGGAGCTTGCATGTTCTCTCGGTGGTCGTGTGGATTTTTCTATAGTTCCTCCAGTTTTTCCTTTCACATTTAGAATTAACATGCATTCATAAGATTTTGTCGCAATACATATACACATGATAAGCCACGTAAATTTAGACTTAAAACGTTCGTGACTGCAGGAATTCATCTTCTTGGTTCTTTCGGTAAAGTCACGTAGATAGAAAACAAAAATCGAAATTAAAAGCAAAAAACCCACGACGTTTCGATCGCAACACAAGCGGCCTTCTTCAGGTGGAGAAGACCGCTTGTGTTGCGGCCTTCTTCTGAAGAAGGCCGCTTGTGTTGCGATCGAAACGTTGTGGGTTTTTTGCTTTTAATTTCGAATTTTTTTTTTTTATCTACGTGACTTTACCGAAAGAACCAAGAATATGATAAGCCACTTCATTAAGCTTTCATTTGTGGCCAGGTCGCTTCTGAAAAAGCTATATAACTCAGTGGGCCTTACCTAGTAAAATAAAAAAAAAACATTCTAGTATAGTATGCATGATGGAGGGTGCATACTAGGTGCTTAGTGCTGGGTGCTTTATACATACTTGAACGTGATGATGTTGGGGTGCCTGAGCTTGTGCAGGTGCTTGATGTCGGTCTCCTTCTGCTCCCGCACCTTCTTGACAGCCACGTGCTCTCCGCGGAACTTTCCCAGGAAGACGGCGCCCTGCGCGCCGCTGCCCAACCACTGCAGTTCCGAGATCTCCTCAAACGGCACCTCCCAGCTGTCTGCTCCATGTGGAGGGGGCACGGAACAGGTTCAGGAGGTGTGCGAGCACCTAGGACCTTTGGCCCGTTGAGGCCATTGTACTCCTGGGCAATATTAGGCCACTCATCACCAGCAATTGTTACCGCATCCTGCGCTGTTTATTTCCATAAAGAACTCTGTCAACCAATGCCATTGCCATCCAAGCTGCAATAGTTTATTATTATTATCATCAGCCATGGCCGATCCACTGGTGAGCAAATGCATTCTGTAATGTAATGATCCATCTAGCACCTGCACCTGCACGTGGCCTGATTTAAATCTCTCCCTCTCCCCGGAGGATATCCCCTCAGATGCGTTCCATGCTTTGGAGGTCACTCTGTCATTATTCTTGCCCATCGGTCATAATTCCTTCGCGTGACATGTCCCACCCAAGCCCACGTATTTCGGTTGAATTTCAATGATGCCATTACCACGCATATGTTCTCTGATCAATGTGTTCCTCCTTATGTCACTCAATGCAATTCTATAGTTGTTAATGGCAAATACAATGCTGGTGAAGACTGCTGGTGGTACACGACACTTCTCATATATGTTGAATGCATGTATGCATGTCCTCACGTGGAATACTGCTTGTGTGTATGTGTATTTGGACGGACAACAGTAAGAATAATTTAGGCTTGTAATGCGCACAATGTTCAATCTCTCTTGAAGAGAGGGTACGGCTCGGAGGCACGAGGAACCACAGACGAGAGGGAAGGTAGCGCAGCTGTGAGGCAGCACTGCCAACAACATCCCCAAGCTTCTGACATCTATTCTATTATACTATTTTACTACCATACTATTCTTTTTATTTAAAAAGGTAAGGACCACCGAGCTAAAAATAACTTTTTTTTTAAAACGACCTGGCGATTACAAATGATAGCTCAACAAAGTGGCGTATCATTCGGAAATGTATTGCAGCACAAATACTCTAAACGCACGTTGATTCTAAATATGGAGGGAAAAACCAGAGGACTCGGAGAAAAATCCACAGTACCACGGGGAGAGATACGTGCAAACTCCAACTATACAGGTGTCAGTGCAGTATCGAACCCACGACCTCCTGTATACCAGGCGAAAGTGAGTTCCACGTAATCATTTTGTTTTATTTCTGAATCACAAACCCTCGCTGCCTCCGTGGGTGCTGATTGCAGGTTTGTGCCGCCACCGCCCCGGCATGCATGTGTAATGACTCAGATGACGAAGTACTCGGAGCCATATTCTTAGTTTTTTCGGTAAAGTCACGTTGAAGAGAAACAACAAAATAACAAAATATATATAAAACAATAAAAAATTCTCACGACGTTTCGACCATAACTCAAACGGTCATCATCAGGTGTGTCGGTTTGCATAAATTTATTTTGAAAACGGCATATTTATTTATATATATAAAAATAACGTTTGCGTCACGCGCAACGATGGCAGTTTGCCAGGACTAGTCCATCTATTTTTTTTTTTGAAAAGAGGAGGGGGGAGACGAAATTTGTTTTTATGTATGCTGTCTGAAAGGCACTGTAAGCGTGAACAATCAATCAAGAACTGAAATGATTTATCAAATCTTTCCAATGATTGCTAAGATAGAATCCATCTTCTCGGTTGAAATTGTCTCTGTGTTTGTATATGTGGATAGCCTCATGAACGAATCTCTCATGGAAGCCAGATGGCTTACAAAGAACCTCCGTCTTGGAAAAGTCAATGGCATGTGAGCCTACTGAATTAGAACAATGATCTGCTACGGCCGAGGTGTTGGTCCTACCGTGTTTAAGGTCTGCTTTATGTTCACGAATGCGGTCCGAGATATGGCGTTTGGTTTCTCCAATGTAACTACTACCACAGAGGCAACTTAGTTTGTAGACACCAGGGTATTGTATGTCCGGAATCACATCTTTTACAGACGGAACCAGATCACGGATTTTATGTAATGTGTTGAAACGGACCTGGATCTTGTGTTTATTCAAGATTTTGGAGATCTTTTTTGTGATCCCAGCAATGTAGGGTAAAGTGATGGTTTTGAAAGGCTCCTCAAGAGGGTTCTTCTTCATGGTTTGAGTGATAGCTTTGCGGATTGTATAGTCGGAGTAACCATTAGCCCTAAGAGCTTGGTGTACGTGCTTGAGTTCACTGCTTATGTGTTCCTGGTCGGATATGCATTGGGCTCTATGATACAGAGTCTTGATGAGAGAATTCTTCTGTGATGGATGGTGGTGGGAATCCGGTTTCAGATAAGCATCCGTATGGGTAGCTTTCCTGTAGACAGAGTGGCTCATTGAACCATCAGGTCTCTTTTTAATTAGGACATCCAAAAAAGGTATCTTGCCATCTATTTCGACTTCCATGGTAAATCTGATGGCTGGGTGTATGGAATTGATGTGGTCGAAGAATTTGTCTAGAGCAGGCCGGCCATGTGGCCAGATGACAAAAGTGTCATCCACGTACCTCTTCCATAAGGTTGGGCGCAGAGTGGCAGTCTGGATGGCGTCAGTCTCAAATTTCTCCATGAAAATGTTAGCTATAACTGGAGAAAGGGGGGAGCCCATTGGGGTGCCCTCAGTTTGTTTGTAGAAAGTTCCATTCCAAGTGAAGTATGTATTGGTTAAACAGTGTCTCACCAGGGGGGGTACCTCAGTGTTTAGTCCTTGATGAACCAAGTCTTCAATGATTGCAATGGTGTCAGGTACAGGAACCTTGGTGAATAAGGAAACTACATCAAAACTGACAAGCAGGTCGTCTGGGGACAGGGAAATACCCTTGATTGTTGATACCAGGTGAGTAGAATTTTGTACCGCAGAGGTGGTCTTTCCAGTGAAAGGACGCAGGATTTCAGACAAAAAACGAGCTAGTTTGTAGGTGGGGGAGCTGATAGTAGAGACTATGGGACGAAGAGGTGTATCAACTTTATGTATTTTTGGTAAGCCGTATAATCTTGGTGGCCTGGCAGCAGAAGGTTTCAACAAAAACTGTTTAGATTGATCAATTAATGCGGTTGAATCAGAAATTATTTTGTTGGTTTGTGTGACGAGGCTGTTGGTGGGATCTCTTTTTATTTTTGTATAACTACCATCGTCGAGTAATTCTTTAATTTTGTTGTTGTATTCTATTTTATCCATGATAACAGTAGCATTGCCTTTGTCAGCTGAGAGAACTACAATATCATTCCTCTTTTTTAATTTATATAATTCAAAACGCTCATCTTTGCTGAGGTTGCTAGCTGGCATCTTAGCGTTTTTGAGGGTTGCAGCGATTTCAGATCTTGCTACGTCTGCAGCGATGTGACCCAGGCCCCTGAGAGCAACGTCTACTTGGGCAATTATATCATTAACTGGTATGTGTTTAGGTGTGACTGCAAAGTTTAGACCTTTAGCTAAAACGGATTTCAGACCATCGGAAATAGAACTGTTACTGCGATTAATTACGACTTTATTAACGTCTAACTTTTTGGTGTGTGGGTCCGGTCTTTTGTTTAAGAGGAGGTTAAATTTGGAAATCAGGTTTTCCTTACATTTGGTCGACATAGTAGCAGCTGAAGAGGCAGTCATATTGTCTACATGTTCCCAATCCGATGTGGACATTATTGCCGTCAATGATAAGTGTGATTTGTAGAGTGTCTTGTCTAACTGATCTAGTTCTGTGCGTATAAGTCTGATTTTTTCTGAGATAAGAGCTAAGCTAGTTTTGAAAAGAATTCGTTTCGCATTAGAAGAAGTTAAAGTAGCAGAGGTGAGTGTAAATGCGATTGGTATTACCCCAGAGTCGCGGCATCTCTTCAGGAAGGTGAGAGACTCGATCAGCTGAGCTTTCTTATCCCGGAGTTTGTTGAAAGATCTTAAAGTTATGTGAAAACCCTCCCCGTAGAGGCGATTAAATTTTGATTTAAAGCTTTCGTGACTGCAGTAATTCATATTCTTAGTTTTTTCGGTAAAGTCACGTTGAAGAGAAACAACAAAATAACAAAATATATATAAAACAATAAAAAATTCTCACGACGTTTCGACCATAACTCAAACGGTCATCATCAGGTGTGTCGGTTTGCATAAATTTATTTTGAAAACGGCATATTTATTTATATATATAAAAATAACGTTTGCGTCACGCGCAACGATGGCAGTTTGTGACTTTACCGAAAAAACTAAGAATATGAATTACTGCAGTCACGAAAGCTTTAAATCAAAATTTAAGTTAGACGTTAATAAAGTCGTAATTAATCGCAGTAACAGTTCTATTTCCGATGGTCTGAAATCCGTTTTAGCTAAAGGTCTAAACTTTGCAGTCACACCTAAACACATACCAGTTAATGATATAATTGCCCAAGTAGACGTTGCTCTCAGGGGCCTGGGTCACATCGCTGCAGACGTAGCAAGATCTGAAATCGCTGCAACCCTCAAAAACGCTAAGATGCCAGCTAGCAACCTCAGCAAAGATGAGCGTTTTGAATTATATAAATTAAAAAAGAGGAATGATATTGTAGTTCTCTCAGCTGACAAAGGCAATGCTACTGTTATCATGGATAAAATAGAATACAACAACAAAATTAAAGAATTACTCGACGATGGTAGTTATACAAAAATAAAAAGAGATCCCACCAACAGCCTCGTCACACAAACCAACAAAATAATTTCTGATTCAACCGCATTAATTGATCAATCTAAACAGTTTTTCGTTGAAACCTTCTGCTGCCAGGCCACCAAGATTATACGGCTTACCAAAAATACATAAAGTTGATACACCTCTTCGTCCCATAGTCTCTACTATCAGCTCCCCCACCTACAAACTAGCTCGTTTTTTGTCTGAAATCCTGCGTCCTTTCACTGGAAAGACCACCTCTGCGGTACAAAATTCTACTCACCTGGTATCAACAATCAAGGGTATTTCCCTGTCCCCAGACGACCTGCTTGTCAGTTTTGATGTAGTTTCCTTATTCACCAAGGTTCCTGTACCTGACACCATTGCAATCATTGAAGACTTGGTTCATCAAGGACTAAAC